TAGCGGGGAAAGGCAAGGCTGGCACGGGCCATAGTTTTTCATCCCACCCCACCTCATTTTCATTGTACTTACAATACCGCCTTCTGCATAAAAAGCCCGTCAATTATAAGCTTTTAAACTACACTCCTTATGCTACGAATACTCTATAAAAAGAAGAAAAGGGGCACTCACTATCGTTGACTTTTAGAGCACCCACATCAGATCCGATGCTATCGTGTAGAATGTCCTTGGAATAAGAACTGCAGATGCTTGCTTCTATATCAAGGCTGGCAATTTCATCTCAAATAACCCGAGAGGAAACTCAGTATCTATTGTCTTTCCATTAACTAGTGAGTTTGAGTTCTAATAGCTTTCTACAGGCCAAAGGGTATCTCTATCCCAAGCAAACTCCTTCTCGCAATACAAGCATACTTTATCCAGCCATCTCTACATCAGGACAGCACTAATCTCCTTCCACCTCCTCGTGACGTCCTCCTTCTTCTCCTTGCTCGCCTGCTCAAACTCCGCAATGCCTTGTCTTAGCCTGACCGTGATCAATCTCGCTTTCAGATCTCGATTATATCGTTTAAGGAATTGCTTCTCCAGGCCCTTGAGCGTGTAACCTGGAAGGCCAAATGCAGCTGTTATCCAGTATCAGTATGAGATGAACCAAAATAGGCAAAATGGAAGACAAACCTGCGGAAGTCTTGAAAATGAGAGCTCCAGCCCCTTTCCCAACCCCGGTGCAGAAGCCAGTCACTCCTTCTTTCTTGGCCCCACGGTAGGGAAGTGTTAATATGCCCGTGACCCCATCAAACATTCCGAGCGTGAATTCCTGTGAAAGTTTCGAGTCAGTCTTCTGCTCAAATTGTGTCATCAGAAAAGCATACCTTCCCGGCGACCCTGACGCCACTCCCAAATCCAGTGATTTTGTCGCGCTTTCTTACAGTGTCATCGTGGAAAAAATATAACGGTGCATTGTGGAAGCCGTTCGCCAGGTTGTAAAAAAGTGCCACAGGTACTATAATAAAGCATTAGCCAGATTGACAAACTAGTAATATTCCACGGAGCAACTAAATCCGTTACCTCTTAGACCCGTGGCCGCCATTGAGACAGCAAAATGCTCTGTCTCGTGAGCTGCATTGTAAGTACGTCCATGTTCCACTGCCTTTTTTGTTGCCTTTGAATGCAGGGACATCGTCGTTTTGGTCAGCCCTAAATTATCGCTCTTCTTTTTAGATCCCCGAGGCACCGGGAACGCTTTTGTGGCAATTTTGTAGGCCACTGCCTCGATACGTTCTGGTGGGAAGTCTACTGCTGCTTGCACCGGGTTACGGGTATGTGGAATGTCCCAGCTGGGTGAAGGTTTTATTGGCGGAGAATCTGAAGATGAAGTGTCATCATCTTTGGGCGCTGGCTTTTTGATCGACTTGGAGAAGTTTCGAGAGTATTCTACGACTAGTGATATCGTGTTGGTAGCTACTGAGGAAGCAGTTGCAATCGCACCCGAAATGGGACCAGATGGGCCTTCGTCGACATACCAGTCTCGATGCCGAACACTAGAATCATCAGCAGATCAGTAGATGTCCATCAACGAACGCACTACAGATAACCTACAGTTTCAACTGAGGCCAATGTATCAATTGCTCATCAACCAGGATTGAAGCTGCCAATGTACTCAACCTAATATCAGTCTTTCTGATACGCCACACGGCCAATCTCTCTGGGCAAATGAAGCATCGCATCGAGTCCATATTGACGGCTTGCTGGAAAGAAGATGCTGCATTGGCCGAGCCATTTTCATCCGCAATCTTCGCCGCCATACTCTTTACCGCACTTTGAATGTCAGGCCCAAGAGCAGTGGTGATACTATTGGCAAGCAATTCTTCTGTCAGCATCTTATAAGGCACTGGCTCAGGCCCAGCCCCAGCTTTGTGGATCATTGCACCCCAAAATGCTTGATCTCCAAAAAACGGGACAACGACGGTCGGTTTCCCCATGGCAATTCCAATCGCTGCTGTGCCTGCGCCGCCGTGATGAACCACACATGATACGTATTGAAAGAGCCAGTCATGTGGAACATTGCCGAGTAAAAATACCCCATCCGGAACTTCATGTCCACCAAGACCACCCCAGCCTTTGGATACCAATGCCCTAACTCCAGCACGCTTGACTGCACCAAAGATCATCTTGGTGAGCTCGTCTGGTTTATCGACCACGATAGATCCGAAACCAATGTAAACGGGGGGTGGGCCCGCTTTCAGGAATTCAGCCAAATCATCTGGAGGGGTATAAGTGGACGCTTTGGATAAAAAGGAAAAGCCGGTAATGTTGATGTGAGAGCCCCAATCTTGTGGCTTAGGGATAAGTGACGGTGACCTGACAAGCGTGAGTTACAGCCACGAGGGTAGAGATTGATTGTACCTACCACATATACGTGAAAGGGATTCTCATTCTCGGTACGAGCTGATATCCCCATAGTGGGCTTATGGGATCCAATTTGAGGGTCTTCGCGCGGAAGTGATTTATAACATCGCCGAGTCTAACAGGTCCGTCAGTAAAGCCAAGGTTTTAGGTTTTATCTGGTCTGAACTCCTACCCTTGCCATGCTAAGAGTTCCATCATGGTATATGAAATGTAATTCGCAAACTTAGGGTCCGATTCGTCTCGGTCCATCGAAGCCAATGGATGAGGAAAAGCTTGGGTTGGCGACCATGGCATTCTAAATCCATCGTCAGCGATATTATTCTTATTGAGTTTCAATGTCCCAAGCCGCCTGGCATATTCTAAATTGATGCCGCGTTTTCTGTCCTCTGCGAGGCTTCTTCTTTCTATGGAGACAGCCGTAAAATACTTCAGGAGCTACGGAGTAAAGATTAAAGGAAACATGGCAAACTCACGTGAACATTAGATGAAGCGGGATGCCAAGTTTCTCAGCACACTGCATATTCTCCGTATTAGTATTGCCCAATAAGAATGGTGGGTTGGGGAGGTTTCACTGTCTCATGACTTCTGAGACAATGTATTACAACTAAATTCGACCAACACCTGACTGAATGGGTACATAAACTGAATCGAGGAGTTACATACATGGATATGAGCGTAGCTGGGAGGATTTGCAATAATCGCGTCGGCGATGAAAAGCCGATCTACGTCTGTAGCACTCCTGCGCGATCCATCAACTTTCGATTCACCACCCATTCCATTTCCCTCTTCAATACAACTCCTCCAGCATCCCTCCATTATCGTAGACATGTCTGATCTTCGTTTCCCCACATCCCCGGCTTTCAAGCTCTCGATTCCGGGCATAAGCCCAGGGTTCTTTACCATATACGCCATTAAAGTGGCAGGATCACCACCAATGGAAAAGAACTCTAGTTCATTCTCTTCGACGAGATCTTTGAATATGGGATGTGTACATATTCTCACGCGGTGCGAGTAAGGAGGCTTGGAAAGAATCTGAGCAACGGGAATGAAAGGTTGCACATCCCCTCTTGACCCGACGATATGGATTGCAATGTTAAGATGAGGGAGCTCAGAGCATGCTCCAAGTATGGATTGGAGGTGACTTTCATATTTCCTATTGTTCCGGGTTAGATTCTCCCCAAAAGGAAGTTGATGAGGAGTTCGTTTTTCGAAACGTTTTGAAAGTTTTGCTGCCTTGGTGCTCAAATTCCTAAAACGAATAGTCGCCCGGCCATCATTGCAAACTTCGGCCTTTGCGTTGAAATCCCTGTTGGATGTATTGACTCGTCCAAGAATCGGTGGTCGAAAGGGGGAGGCCTCAGTCTCTTGGGTCGACATTGATATTGATTTGAATTGGAAGCATGTGACGAGGAAAGATCGGATGAAGGTTGGTGTATTATTGGAGAGGAACGTGAGTCTTCTCGAAACTCTATCAGGAAGGCCTCTTAATGAATCAGTATGATGTTGAATTGAAAAGGTAGAAAGTTGGTGATATCATTTCTTAATCATTTCTTAATCATCCCGCTGCATGCAGCAGTAGTAGTAAATGGACGATGGCAATGTGGAAAAGGCCGAGGCTCCGGTGCAGCAGGGTAATTGGATCACGGGGCACGGAATCTCCTAAGGCCGTAAAGCCGATCCATCACTTCCGAAGGCCGCCCTATCCTATCTCTTTCTGCTTCAGTACTCGTATTCAACATGATGTGTCCTGCTATGGCCCAAAGGTTAAAGATAGTCAACTACAGCTGCACTAGATGATGGTCTAGTCGTGCACCATTAATGTCAATTCAGCATATCGATGCATAACACTGCCGATATCCCTTGTGCAGAGCTGACTACCGTAAACCCGCGAGGGCGAGGAAGTCGGCGAGGAAAGTCCCTTCCCGCCCCCGCCAACGAAGTATAGGTAAGGTGATCTTCTTTCTCCCTCTCCATTTCCGTCTCCTAGTGATAATTGCCCTTCCTCTTCTCTCTCTCTCAACCAACCTTCCAGTACGATCCTTCGCTCCTCTTGTCTTTCAAGCAGCACATTCTCCCGCGATAATGGCCGAAGATGGTGCTGGTTCTACCGTTGCAGGCCGACTGCGAACGGCATCGGTCTCACTCATGAATTTCAATCCACAGCTTGGCATGTGGGCTGCGACAGGAGCTGCCATTGCTCACGCACCAAATCTGACAGAACTTCGAGAGCCAGTTGCAGGAGGGGAGAACATCGAGTTCGATGAGCACGGGCATAGCGCTCGAACCGTGACGACCGACGAAAATGGGATGCCAGTTCTGTCCTCGGCCATGTCCAAGACTGCTAGTCGAATACTGGTTGACGAGACCGATCTCAAGGGGCAACCAGTTTGCGTGCCTCTCGTCCGAAGACAAACGCTGCTAGAACAATCACAGACGGAGGAAAAGCACGGCTGGGGCGAGACAATTTTACACGGATTGAACGCGGCATGGAAATTCGTCTGCACGCCAACGGGCTTCCTCATGACCATTTATGGACTGAACATCGTGGCTTGGGGAGCCATGTTATTTTTCCTACTCCTTGATGCCGCGCCGGCCATGGATCACCCAAACAAGAATTCCAATGATTCCCCAAGGAAGAAGTGGTTAGAGATCGACAGTCAAATCCTGAACGCGCTTTTTTGCGTTACAGGCTTTGGTTTGGCTCCTTGGAGATTCAGGGATTTATACTGGTTGATACAGGCAAGACTGAGGAAGAATCGTTATGCCATGGGGAGGCTGGTCCAACAGAACAAATCGTGGTTTCGGCCACCAGCTTGGTACGAGGAAGACGAGCAGGTCGAAGATGGCTTTGCAAAGAGAATAACCTTCACTGGAGACGTTGCTCCACCGACCAGCCTTTGGAAGTTGAGTTTTGTAATATGGATGATGGTCGCAAACACCTTTCTTCAGGCTGTCCTTTCGGCTTTCATGTGGGCATACAATCGGATCAACAGACCGTCCTGGGCAACTGGAACCTTCATTGCGCTTGGATGCGGGGTCAGTATGTTGGCTGGTGTGATGATGTGGTGGGAAGGCCGTAAGGTAAAGAAGATCGAGGGACCCGTGATTAAGGTGGTGGAAGCTACGGATACCGACAAGGGAACTGATGGATAGAGAACCTGACACCCGCCTTGTACAGCGAGGCCAAGACTGAAGGAGACTGCTATGGTTAGTCAAGATTTGCAAGCAGTCCTCAGCTTGAGGTTTAGCCCGAACATTGATTTACTCCCGTTTTTGCCGGCCCACCCCTCGCCGCCCCCAAAACTCCACACTTCATCCTCCCCATTCTTCTAACGAGCTGAAGCTGTCGATCGGAGTTGGTTACCTGTCACGGCTCAAACGTGCTTTGGAATTATGGGAAGATTGGCGTAGTGAGTTGGGTGTATTGCTGGAACGCCTCCCGGTCGGGCGTCACTTTGTCGTAATCATCAAGTCGCTCTCAACTTCATCTCTTCTTCATCGTGGTCCTGAGGTACCACATTCCGTCGCACGCCATGCATGCTATCAGACATAAGTCATGGAAATGGTATTAAGGGCAGCTTCACCGAGATGCTGTTAGGACCTTGTGAGGCGAAACGAATTTATCTCGTTTTGGAGCTATGCGGCTGTGTGAGTTTATGCAGCCGCAATCTGCAACCCAACATCAAAGTCTATCAGTTGGTTCGATGAGGGGTAGTTGATTCGCTGAAAATCCTAGGGGAGGGGTCCGTTCCGAAAACCCCTGCCAAATGCACGTCCCTTCTCGGTGCGAGACGAGAAGGATTCGTTACAACTTGACGATCGCGTTCTGATGGTTTGAGATGAAATGAAGAGAGCAGAAAGGGGACATCGTTGCATCGGGCCTTGAAAAGGCCCAAAAGCTTTTTATACTGGCGACTAATGGAACAGCTGCAACTGCGGCAACGTGGCGACGAACCTAGATCGACGAGGATGCACCCGCGACCTTGAGCAGGGCCTCCTGCCCTGGACCCGGAAACCCCAAGCGTTTCCACAGCCCAATATCAAAAAGTATTATACTACTGCCCCGCCGTCACTTCCTATCTCACCACATGGATAACTGTTTATGATGACTATGTGGCTAGAAAGGGTTTTACCTCAGTTTAACGACTCGGAATACCCAAAGGACCTGAAAGATCCAAGTGTTTGCCAGTCTTTCGAGGTCGATGACGAGAAAAGCATTTCAGATACTTCTACGGACAGCAAGTCGCGGCGTTTGCGAACAGTTTTCCACCACAATAGTAAGGATTATGCCCAAGCGAGAAGTATAGGGTACTGACGTTCTTTTGCAGGGGACCCTCTTCTTGATCATTCTGATATATACCTTGGGAAGACTGACTGGCGGTCCATTGGCAACTTACTTCTCGCTATCTATGCTACGCTTTCCTCTACACTCTCTGTCGCCATTGCCATTTGGCAACCACGCTACGGCAAGTGGATTGGTCCTGCAGGCCATTTGACACCTTCAACGGCCGATCTACTATTTTCTTTGTTTGCTAAATCCATTGAAATCGCCTCTGCTGGAGTATATATCAATTTTCTTGGCCAGTTTCTGACCAGGAGATCTCTCCGTTCGCGAGGAATTAGCCTCGCCGATATTGCGGTACGTGAATGGCTCATTCAGCCAGGTCTGGTGATTTTTCAATGGGAAAATCTCAAATATGCAACCACGACGATCTTAGGCTTCACTTCCCTACTTTCTGCAGTTGCAATCTACTTCTTTACGACGGCTTCTAACTCGCTGGTATCGCCGCATATCGCATTGGGCAAGTGGGATTCAGCTCAGTTTTTAGGCCAGGTTCAACAAAACTTTGGGAATCTTCCCGTGATGCACAAAGAGTGTTGGGCGCCCATAGATGCTTACTTGGACTCCCAGAACGTCGGCGAATCTTGCGTAAATGTGCTCGCATCGGGTCTCGCCAATCAAGATTTCAACGAGTTCATGAAAGCGTGGAGCAAAAAAGTCATGGGAGGCAACACCAATTTATCGAATCTTTCATTGCGGCCACCAGCAACTAGTTCGATCTTCACTGATACAATGGTCGAAGGAAACTGGGTTCAGAGGTCTAGTAGCGACATCTCCGCCAACTTTGCTAAGTATGGTAGAATCGTGAACAATATTACTCTTTCAATGCCGCATCCAGTCGTCTTCTATTCCGCCCAGGTGGAATTTCCGAAGCCTGTTAGAGGGACAGGCTTCGGAGAACATACTATCAGAGCATCAGTCCTATCTCCGACAAGTAATACCCTATGCGTCAACATGCAAAAGTCCGAAATATCACCACTGGTTTATGTCGATTGGCCCAACGCACGTTTTAACACAAGTAATACTGGACACAAAGTTGCCGCCTCAGACTGGTTCAAAGATGTTCCCGCCAACATATCTTTACAGTCTAATATCAGCCAGACTTATGTCGAGGATATTTTTAGATGGGGATCTGTATATAACAGACGTCCCCCAGTCTTTCCACAGGTAAGTCTTAAGCCATGCAACCACTCTCTGACCAAAAACCGGCACTTGCTCTCGTCGACTTTTACTGTCCTACGCTACCTGGCACATTATAAACCGTGTGCCAGTTTTCTGACTTCATGATTGCTAATTGAGTTCTAGTGGCCAATCGATTCCAATTCCATATATAATATTTCAGTGCCCAAGTCCGATTCCATATACCTGCTACTTAAGTCACCCAACACGACAGATTATACCGTCTGTCAGATGTATGGACTCATGTCTCAAAACTGCTCAACGACACATACCCAAAAGGTTGGCACCCGAACGCTGAATTCCGATTGCGATGGCACTCCACCGAGCTTTGGGAATACTATCGCGCCAGGAACCTTCCATCCCAAACCATCCACGGATTTCCGAGACGTTCTTGGCGCGTGGGCAACTGCTGTCGGCCTCAACGGAGGTATGGTCAGCTCCAACAGCTCACTTGTACACACCCTTTCACAACTCGTCGTTACCAATTCCAATTCTTCTGATAATCTTCCGTCATTCAATACAACGCTGCCATCTCTTTCCGAGGGCCTTGCTGCTCTCTCCAATTCCCTGCTCATGAAGGCCTCCATCAACGCTTCATTTGATGGTACGGCAATAAAGAATGCTCCTATTGCTCCTACACTCCTTCCGTACGACGTCGTGGTCCAAACGCAACAATATAGGTCCGGGCCCCCAGCTCGCTGGCAAGGAATCTTGTACCCAATCCTTATCATTATGTTTGCTGCCAATTGGTATTGCCTAGCCTATTTCATACGCGAAATGGGATTAGTGGTAGATTTCCTGGAGACTAATAATCTGTTCTCTGTCGCGATCGACAGTCCGAGTGAGAGTAAGAGGAGGGCGCCCACGGAGGGGCCTGTTGGGTGCCACAGTGATGTTGCATGGCTGCTGAGGAGAGATCATCACCGGAGATTGGTGTTTAGGAAAGCGGGTGGTGAGGGTTGGGTCGGTGGGGGCAAGAGAGATGGTGTGTATTTATAGATTTCCAGCTCCTTTGATCAGATGGCTCGTGGTGGATTTCCCTCTTGAAAAGCCATTACAATGAGTAATATGTTGTATGATCATTTTGCTTTTAAAGCTATCAAGTCCTTTACGTCGTACTCTTAGAAGACAGGTCAACTTAAAAGCTCGTTAGAATAGATTTCAAGAAATAGTTCATGTGTAGATCTTTCCTTCAGAATTTGGACATGAGTGTAATACGTATGCCGGCGGTCGTTTGGCCTTGTCAATAATATAATGAGTGATAGAAAAGACGCGAGGATAACGATGTAAAGTGAAGTAAAATTAGATAGAATATATTGGGGAAATGATACGCAATAGTTGTCATGCAGGGAGGAAAAGAGTGAAGAGACAATTGCACGGAAAAGAGTCGATACCTAGTACTTGTATGTAAAAAGTAGAATAACAATGCATTTGTAGACATGGCAACCCCGAGAATGTCGGAAAATAAAACGTTGTTCCGATTCTACGAAGATAAATGTAGATGTTCTCGTCGCGCGGCGCTTCCCGGTGAAGGATTCACACCGGCGGGCAAGGGAACGATATGCGACCTCACGTCTAAGCAATTCCATCAAGTCTAGACCAAATCCAACTCGTTAATATCGAGGTTGAAATCCAACGCCATGCTTCCTCTCAGGCCACACAGTCCTATGACTTCTTCCTATACAACTAGATGCAGGGGAAGCCCCGCATCCTTCAAATTTCTATACAATATCAGGCGAAAATATTACGCTTACATTCCTACGATAAGCATCAAGCCATAGCCAACCGTAACAACGACGATGAGTGTGATGATGCTCGATGGAATACCACGGCTGATGAAATGCTTAACTTGTAAATACCGTTGCCCCGTTTGTGAATCTTCCATCATGATTGCCGCTGTATCTTGTCAGTAGAGATACGAATATCAGATGAGTAATGACTTACTCATATTCGGAAACCCAGAAGTTGGCAATCCCATCGCAGCACTGCACATTAATGCGCTTCCCATGACCAAAAGATTCGGATGTGGCTGTTCCATGTTATCACCTACGCTCTTCACTAATGGAAGGATGATCAAAGCAGCCACGGTATGGCTGATGAAGGTTGCGACAACTAGGATTAGTGTGGCGAACACAACGAGGACACCGTAGAGGGAGAAGTCTTCCACTTCGGCAGTGATGGCTTTGGCAATGGTGTGCAGAAGGCCGGATGAGTTGACGGCTTTGCCTAGCGAAAGTCCACCAGCTGCAAGAATTATGATTGTCCATAAGAAGTTATTGAAGTCTTCTTTCGTGAGGATTCCAGTGCCAAAAAACAGGACGAGCGGAATGATGGCAATGACACCCATGTCTCCAAACAACCATTCGAGCTGATGGCTTACACACCATAGTATGATGGTAGCAAAGGTGACGAAGGAGATAAATAGTTGGACCCCAGTAAATTTGTCCTTCACAGGTCTGATAGGTACTATCGTTGTTCCTCGGCCAGGATGGAAGGTGACAATAAGAACGAGCCAGATGAGGAGGATTGAGATGATGCCAACTGGGAGAACAACGAAGAACCAAACACCCCAGGATGGCTGAGGATCCATTATTTGTAATGCGACGATGTTCTGGGGGGAAGCGATGGGGGAGAGCATTCCGCCGATGTTGGAGGCGAGGGCGATTCCGAGGATGAGAGCTTTCGACATTGGTGAGTCGGATGGAAGGTTGCGAAGCATTGGCTGGAGGGTTAGCAGTGGATTTCGTATAAGTAGGCAGTACTTACTTGGATGATAGAAAAGCACAGCACTGGAGCAGCGACGTTACTGATCCACATGCTTGCAAAGGCCGCGACGAACATGTTTGTGACCAGAACAGTCTGCGGTCTCGTACCAGCTTTGCTTAGTACGAAGGTGGCAATTCTTTTGGCAATATCGTATTTTGACAGGGCAGCAGCTATAGTGAAGCCGCCAAGGAGAAGCATGATGACGGGTGTCCACATGGCTGCGAAGATATACTTCGTTGCAGGACCGGCTTCAAGCCGATGGTGTGGTTTATCATCGGACCTGACGACTCGCAAAACAACACACAGAAATGGTATAAGCAAAGAGGTTACGAAGAGTGGAATAACCTAGTTGCGTCAGACGACAGGATATGCTGGGTTTCAAGACAACTTACCTCTGTGGCCCATAACAAACTGACAAATGCCAACATCGCCAGACAGTTTTGCTGTTCCACCTGCTTCATGATTGGCACATAGAGCAGAGCGATAAATATGGCGATAATAAGGAGGAGAGTTAACAAGGTTGAACTGAACAGCCATGTTGGTAACCTGAACCTGCCGACTGGTGTGGAGAGCTCTTTCATCTCGCTGGCGTCAAAAGAATCACCCTGCAAACGAGCTTTTGCAGGATCGCCATCAGGGCCGAGTAGGGTCCTTCCCAGCCCCAAGTTCGCAGCTTGGGCTTTGCGCTCAATCCCTATCATCTCTCGCCAGACGGTGTTTCTTTCCCATACCACATGCTCCCGCAGGTGTAATCTCAGTTCCTTCCTAGCCAGCTCCACATCCCCTTGGGTCACCACACCCGCGTATGCCTTTTCCATGTGCTTGATGTTCTCCTCTATGTGCTTCATCGTTTCCGGGCGGAATGGGTATGCCGGAGTAACATTTTTCTCGACGTATTGCGATTTCAGGCCTCGATCCATTATCTTGTCGTATTTCTTGAGGACCTTTGTGAAACCCGTTTTGTTCAACTGAGTGAACGATTTGAGCTCGCATAGCTGCACGTAGAGGCTGATCGCTCGCTTTTTCAGTGTAATTCCAGAGGACAGTAAGGAAGAGAAGGCGTGTTCGGCATAGTCGTCGTAGTTTTGGCTGTTCCTCCGTATCGACTTGGATAATTCTGTCGAGGCCTTCATATCTTCGGCCGCCCCTGATCGACCCACGTTTGCATCGTATGGCGTACTCTTGCTTCGTTGTCCAGCAGCAGGTCGTGATGGCTTCTGCAAGGCCGTGTTCTCATCATCTTCGTCGTCGTCGCTATCTTCCACGCCCTCATCAATAGATTGACTAATTGTACTAGCTCGCCGGGCTTTGACTACGGAACCTCGAAATATGCTTCCTTGCCGTGGCCTGTCGCTCACGCGGCTACTTGTTGCAGGCCTGCCATCTTCCCACTGGTCCAGGCTTTCTGCTTCGTAGGATTCTTCGTCCTTTAGGAGCTCCGATACTTCGCCATATATCTCCAGCTCCTTGAGTTGATAAAAGGATGAGATCTTCTCCAGTTCCACATCCAATGCGCGCGAGAAGACCTGGTCGGGATCTTCCCCAGAGATTAATGGCGAGCGTTCGGCGTCGTCCTCTGCGTTTGTTCTGTGGATGGTCTTCTCGAGTTGGTAGATGCTTCAGCAGATTAGCAGGTGGTGCCAGAGGTAGAGGTAGATGTGGGCAACGTACAGCTTCTTCAAATTGCTGTAGGCAATATAATGGCTGCTCCAGTCTGGAACGGCGTTGAACTGGATGCTGTGGGAAAACTTCATCTCGTCCTCGTCATCAAGCCTCCTGGTCTTCTCTGCCCGCTGGGCTTCCCGCTCTAGGCACTGTGATTCCCTCTTCTGCCGGTGGTGTATGTTCCTGTAGTCGGCAAGTTCGTGTTCTTCCTCCTCCCCTCTGTGCGGCCTGATCGAGAGATGAAGGTGGTCTGCCGTAGTGAGACTAGGCGTGTGACTAGAGTGGTAGGTAGGTGGAGGTAGAGGTAGAATTGGCGAGGAATGGGCGAGGCGAGGGCAGTTTTGGCGGGAGTGCGTTTAGAGAAATTGGCTGAGGAGGAGGTAAAGGAGTCTATGGTGAAGACGTTGGATTTGTGCTGCAGGTGATAGTGATTCTGTATATACAGTAGTAGGTAGGGAGAGGAGTGGAGCATTGGTGTTTCCCCATCCTTCCTGCCCTGCATCCACATCGGATCACCAGGAAAGCTGTGCTGTTACTCTGTTCTGTCCTGTGGCTGAGATGCCTGTCCCACTAGCCACAATGGCTTAGCATATATATATACGGTACCTGCATCCACCTTCCCTTCTCTTTATTTTTCACGCTCCATAACATCTCTCGAGACAAATTATAACCTAAGTGGTTGGTGATTGTTATATGGCATACTTGACTGTTGCGAGAATATCCTAATTCTCATCTTCAGTTACCATTTGTTGCGATCTATTATATATTACCAGCTTGCTATGTTCTCGATTAAGACATTCCAAGGACGCAGTAATTGGAGGTAATCCAGTAATGTTCCACATGAGATGAAGAATCGAATGCGGCTTCCGCTTCCTCCAACCATGTGGGTATTCTTACAGCTTTGGTGTTATGATCACCGCTTTTGGCCTGCACGCAGTTACACTTTCTTTGTGTCAAATTGGTATGAGAAAACGTCACACCAGCTGTGCCTTTCTAGACAATCCATTTGCTGAGGTATCATTATGGCATGTTCTTGATTGCTTTATAGGCAGTCTTTGCGTTATGGCGTCTGGACAAGAAGCAACATATGATTCTATTAAAATTCTTCGCGGGCCTCTAAAATAAAAAAGGAATAGGTAGAAATTTGCTATTTCAACCTCAAACTCTAAAATAGTTAGCTTTACCTACTACTGCTGCATTATTTGCCTTCTGACTTGTAGCGCCGTTCTCCTCGGCGAATGCAACAGCACAGATTTATCTACACCTGTTATGGAAGTATTTAACCCCGTTTAAATAATGTTTAAACGCGTCACTAGATTAGCTAATTAAGAACAGCTTACTGATTTTAGAGAATCAGATGAGATAAGGAGTGAAAGCTGGTATGACTGAGACTACACTTTATAAGCAACATTCTGGTACGAGTACACACGGCTACTTTCCGCCGGTAAGAGTTGCTAAAATTGCTTTCAAGATCTAATCTTCTTCAAGGAACATTTTCGTGGAGATAGGAACGAGTTCAATAATTACCTGGAATAAACAGGGCATTCTACAAGATCAAATATCTGGCAAGTTGGAATAATCATGGGACAGCTAGCGACACTCACCACACAGCCAGAGTCTCCTTCGAGAAAATACACCCCGGGAAATGACATTAAAGGTTGGATACCTCTCGGCGAAACGTATTCATGCCAGGGATTGAAAGATACTCCTTATAGTCGGGCGTTAAAGCAGATTATTTTTGAGTGCTTGTACCTAAACCCCATCTTTCGACCAAACCTTACGCATCTCAAGACTAGGGCACAAGAAGGCTGAAGCCGTTGGTGTGGAATTTCATTGATCTTGATATGGATGAGCTTTAGGTTTGAGGGGCAGTTTGGGTTATAGATTGTAGATGAAACCAAAGGTCATCAAAGCCGCAGATCAATCGGGCGCTTTTCAAAATTAAGACTAGGCAGTTAATACCAGTTATACAATTGCGCAGAGTCACTGACTAGCAGAATAGTGGCCCGGTATATCGTCAAGTTTCTGACTAGGAACATATTCTCTATTAGTACGTTCAAACAAAAAAGGGAACAAACTAGAGAGAGAAGGGTAGCTACCAAGTGAATAGACCGGTATAAAAGTAAGGACCTGTGTTCCGGGCATGCTATATTAAGAAGTTTATTCCTCCTTATTCTAAACGTTAATCTAGATGGAGAACATTTCTTTTCCTACCGAGGAAGTAAGGTTCACGTGATCGGATTTCTAATCAGGTATATACAAATAGAAACACCTACTAGAATTATCTGGGTTTATGAAGCTTCTACTTATCCTTCAACTTTACTATTACACAAGACAAGGGGCCGAAGTCTTCGGTCAGTTGTTGCTAACTCGTAGCAAGGAGTAGGGTAAGCATTCGGACTTCAAAGCGAGTCACGGGTACACGAGGATCATGGGATATCGTAGCGTTCTCTAGCTTTGGAGATGTGTCTAGTATATATAATGAAGAAAAAGATGATGCCTACAGAGGTAGTAGCAACTAACCCCTTTTCAAACTAGCTGACTAATAATATATACCCCTCGCTAAAGGTGGGGTGGGTTGGATGCAAGCAGACCACCTGCATCTATTGTTCTCAACGCCAATAGAAAGATGCGAGCGATGATTGATCTTCTTTTCTCCAGTATTCTTCCAAATGATTCAGAAGAGAAAATACATCACGAGGCAGCTGCGACATCCGTGATGACATAAGATCTATTGGAAGTGCCGAGCCATCGCTTTATGCACGGTGACGGCATGTCTCTTGTGAGTCTGAGTCTTATATGATCACATCACAAGATATGTGATTTATGTCAAGTGGCATCTATATATACCTTCCTATCTATTCCTTTCCGTCCCCAATTTACCATCTTGCACAACAGAAATTTGTAAAAATGGCAGCACAAGAATACTACAACAGTTTCCCTCAAGAACATCCCCCCCCCTCAATATCAACAATATCCATCAGCGCCACCACAAAACGCGCCTCAGCAACCACCACGACCACAACACAACTCAGCAAACTACAAGCCAGCATCCTACACATATCCCCAACAATACAACCAGCGTCCTGTCTCACAACCTCCCGCTCAATACTACCCCCCACAGCAACAGCAGCAGACAATGGCTTACCAACAAGCGCCCTCCTCTCAAGTCCAAGACTGCCACGCCCAACCACCACATCCCGAGCCTCTCCACACAGTCCGATCATACTCGGAGCCTCCGCGAAGTCAACACCACAGTCATAACCACCATGACCACCACCATCATCGTCACCACAACCACTCGAGATCACCATCGCCGCGTCGCAGGCCGAGGGATCACTCCAGCCGGAATACTTTCCTGGGCGCTTTTGGCGGCGGTGCCATTGGCGATGCTATATTTCCCGGCTTGGGGACGCTGGGTGGTGCGTTGCTGGGCGGGTATGGCGGACATGAGGTCAATAAGGGGAGTGGGAATCGCAGTCGGAGTGGGAGGCCGCGGAGTGCGAGGAAGAGGGATACGTATGATGAGGAGTATGAGGAGGGGCGGAGGCGGAGGGGGGAGATTTAGTTAAAGTGGCTTTGTGATGGTTATCTTTGCACAGGTTAGTCGGGTTTGGAAGGGAGGGAGATTAATTGTGCATGTATTATATTGTATGAGTAGTTACTCAAGAGTAGTGAAGGGTTGTCTCTGGTAGACTTAGCCCTCTACTACTACATCTCCTTTCAGCGCTGCTACGACGGCCAGGATGTTGCCCAAATGCGTTTCACGTGTATATGGCACGGGACAGTGTCACGCCTTTTGTTTAGTATTAGATATGTTTCAGCGTTCACACGCTATGTTCTCTGTATTCATAGTTTATATTCATCTTTCCTCGCTTTGACATTTTAATGCACAAACAGTTTTGCTTATTGCCTATGAGGCCCCTGAGCTACATTCATGATTCTCATATCGAAATTAGAGAAACTGTATTCATAATGATATATGGTGGATCACTTCTTGAACCCATTGCTAGACGCAGGGAATCATATATATTACTCCCGTATTATCTACCAGTTTCACGCGCTCTTGCGCCTCTTACTTCTGCTCTCATAAAAAAGGGGGGGATTCCTGTCCATCTCACCTATCCCAATAAACCTCGTCGTTCCTTTTTCGCGGCGTTTGAATCATGTCTTTCCTAGAGTTGGACTTGAAAAGGGAGAAAGTTTCTCCTCTTTTGACCCTTCTTCCGGGTTAGTTTTGAAGATTACCGCTGCAAAAGTTGATTTGGTGGGCTATAGTTAGTTGGGAGCTTGGGCTCACTGCGGAAGAAACTCATTACTAACGTTACCAATGACTGCGCGCTTTTTATCAGGAAGGCTGAGAACGATTGCTGGTTATAATCTCGCTTAGCTTGCTTTCCTTTGATGCATTTCTAGAGGATATCTGACTGGTACTTTCTTCCTTCTTTCCCTTTGCCTCTTCTTTTGTATTAGCTGAACTTGTAGAGTGGAAAGTTCGACAACGATGTTATCTCTGGGTGTAGTCACTCAGATGGTCGAACCACGTGATGCCCTTCCCAGAAGACAGACGCAAGCCAGCTGTTTTCAGTGGTGTGGCAGGTGTCGCTTCTCAAGCCATGCCAAATCCGAGAAGAGTTTTACACGACCTTCTAGATCCTCGTAATTTACATCTTCCTCGTACTATTAGGAGATAATCCTAGTAATGGTTGCAGATGAGATTAAATTGACGGGATTTCTATCAATTCAAAGTTAGCAGGAAATCTTGCTAATTATACTAGCTTTTCCAAATCGGACACCTAAACTAGTGTGCCAGAGTATATCTTTTTAGATGTAATGCATTGAAAATATACTAATATTGTTAGCTCAGGTGTACGGCTCCATACTCCTAAAAATAGGACCTGAGACTGCAGATCACGTGGTTCTCCTCGTCGACACAATCCAGGGGATGGGTCCTACTTTAGCTTCCGTATCTAGGACAGCAAGTTCTATAACCCACACAACATTTTCCCATTTCCAATTCTTTCCCTGTATAGTTTACAAAGGGGTAACGGACTTTTGCTTAACCCTTTACTTTGGTTATCTTCATCCGAGTTACTTGGAGCTTTTTCCAAGCATTGGATTATATTTGCCAACAACTAGCTGAAAAAGTATATCCTAGGAACGCATAATTCGACCACGAAAAATCCATTTTTTAATCGCAATCGCCTTGTAAGCATTTCAATCCAATTCGACGAGAAATCGACTTAGTTTCCTCAAGCATGTCGGTATGAAAACCCTACCTACATGATTTATATCACTACTAACACTATCCAGAACAACACTCTAAAGGCAATCTTGCCAAAGAGGACAATCCGCTCAACCCCGGCCTTGACCAAAGCCACCCCCGTCAAACCAGCCTCGATGCAAAGTCCCCGATTCGCAACACTTGCAGACCTACCCGACAGCGTCCTACTCCTCATCGCATCCTACCAACCCCGCACCATCACCATCTCCCACGACCCGAAGCTCGCGTCCGAATTCAAGATATACTCCGAGGCCCACATCATGCCTCCCCTGCTGCAGCTCAACCGCAAACTCCGCACCAAGGCCCAGAAACTCTACCGCCTGAGCTTCAACGCCCTCCTAAACAAACGCCCCCTCTACTTCAATTTCTCCTTCGACACCATCCTCATATCCAGCATCGAGGCCTTCGCCCAATTCCTCGTGCCCATCGGCTACACCGCCGGCAGCGAGCAGGAGCTCGCCAGAGAGCGCCACTACCTGGATCTGGAACTGCGCTATCTGGCCTTCGACACCCCGCTGTACTACCTGTGCATGCAGACTCTGTCTCGCTTCCGCAATATGCGCGAGGTGGTCTATGTCGAGTGGCCGGAAGTGGGTGTGAAGACGCGGGCTAAGAGGAAGGCCCCGCAGGAGAGCAGTGAGCTCCTAGGCAGACGATGGAGTTGTGGGAGAGGGCTGCCGAGCTGAGGAAGCAGGTTGGTTTTAAGCTGCCGGATATGGTGCAGTATGGTAAGGAGCAGTTTGAGGCGCTGTTTCGCATGGATAGGGAGGTCGATAGTGAGTATGCTCTATGGCTTCAGGGGAAGGTTCAGACTGGACAGGGTCAGACTAAGAAAAGTAAGGATAGGAAGGGGGCAGTAGTTTCTAAATTGTAGAGTTTGATGGGGATGGAAGGAAGGATGAGGGGATTTTTGAATAGCAGGCTAGTATATATGACCTTGGGGAGGTGGGGGGGGCTCTTAGATTGGAAAGCATATCCAACTGAGATAGAAAGATTAGACAGAAAGAGGCTTCTAACTACCTAGGAAACCATGAAATGAAATTGTTGGAATATAACGATGCGTATATGTGACTGTATTATATGACTTGTAGGAGGTTACGTGTCAACTACACTAGAGATTATGGTTTTATCTATGTGTCTGCTAACTAAGCAATATCAAACAGAAATCCAAAGCTAGGAGGTGTTACAGCTTATACCAATAACTAAAAAGAAGTTAGCGGAAGTGAAGAATATAATAGTATTAAGCTTTTAACTTGAAAAATAAGAATACTAAACTAAGAAAAGAAGAAAAAAGTAGAAGGTAGCTTCTAAAGCTCTAAATATATTTAGTAGTCCTTCTACGCTATACTAGCGCTAAATCCCTGAACCTACTTTCCTAAGCTATTATACTAGTACTAAAAAGCTATAGCAAGTATACTAAGAAATTAAAAGATAGCTATTATGCTTTTATAAAAAGAAAGTAGATCGTAAGTAACTCTAAGTATAAATAAAGAAATAGAGGAGGTATATATAGATGTAAAAGATATCTATAAAAACGCTACATCTTTTCTAATTTACCAAGGTAGTAAAACTAGATAGTAGTTATACTATTAAGGCTTGAAATGGTTGTCTGGAACACTTGGTATTGGAATCTTATACGAATCTTGCTGGCTTTCTATAGGTGGTAGGTACGATTTATTCAGCCGAGGATCAAATCGGGGCAATTAGTGCTTATAAATCGTGAGATCAAATAACTGTCAGCTTGATAACTTTCACCATCTCGTGCCATTTTTCGGAAGTTCTTTCAATTCCCTATTCTCTCTCTCAATTGAGTTCTAAGCTTAAACCTAATCCATTCCCCTTCCGAGGTTCTTCCCACAAGTCGAATCCCGCTCAAATCTTCCAACTAAAAAGAAATGGCAACACCCACCCCCCTCACACACGCCCCCATCCTCTCGCTCGCAAAAGCAACATTTGATGATATCCCCGAGATCACAGCACTCTGGTACACGTGTTTCTCCTCCCCCCTCTTCGACAAGCTCTTCCCGCCCACGCCCGCCGTGTACGCGTGGTGGAACGCGGCCAACGGCGATGATCTGCTGCACAAGCCGTCACAGGTCTACCTGAAGGTCTCGGACGTTTCAACGGAGGGCAAGGGCAGGATTGTGGGGTATGGGAAGTGGGGGTTTTGGGAGGGCGGAGAGGAGAGGATGCTGGAGGATCGAATGCCGGCGTGGGCGGGGGAGAGTGATGGGGGTTTATGCGATAGGTTTTTTGGGGCGCTGGCGGAGGAGAGGAGGAGGAATTTGGGGAGTCCGCCGAGGGGACATGCTTGTGAGTAATTGATGCTTCACTTACTTAGATCTGGGAGTCTGCTGTTATCGATAAATGGATGGGGAAAAGATACGGATTTATACTTGGGTTTGGTTATACTTGCATGGACTGATGGAATATAGATCTCGACATGCTCTGTACGCTTCCGGAATACAGGAAACTGGGTGTTGCCCGTTTGCTGATGGAATGGGGATGCGAAAGAGCAGATGCGCAGGGGAAGGAAGCGTATGTAGATGCGTCGGATGCTGGCAAGGCGGTCTATATGAAGTTTGGATTTGAGCAGCAGAAGCCTTTAGTGCTGGAGCTTGATGGGCAGTGGATTACGTGTACTAGTTTCGTCCGACCGGCGAAGACACAATTGAATTGAATTGAATGGCGATGGGTTTTAACATGACGGGGTGAAAGAAGGTTGAAAGAAGGTGGTGGTGGAAGAGAGCGGGGTGACGTGGGGTGGCGGGGTAAAGGGAGGAATTGAATTGGGTCTGTACTGGGGGTATGGATGGATTGACTAGGCTTGACTGGGGTATGGATGGATTGACTAGGCTTGAATGGGATGATGTGTGACCTGCCGGGGAATACTGACATAGTCTGTATACAGTAAGGTACAAGTAGCACGGTATAGTACTGTATACTCATCCTATACTCACCTTGTATCTTATCTACAGTACAAACTAGCTCTACGTCATACGTACCAGGTAATCTTACAAAGGATGACTGATAAGCTTCCCTTGTCATACAGTACTGTACTACCCTACGCTACCCCTACCCTGCGCTATCCCTACTCTACCGTCGCACAAGATCCGTGCAACCACCATCCTGGCCATTCCACCATTTGATTGGTCCATCCAAGAGTCCGACGTGACGCCAAGATACTAGTGCTGGTCTAGCAGACCGCCGGCTTACTGTCATTTAAAATAAAACACGACTATGAATATCTTATCTGGGGGAGCTAAACACCTTCCTTCGTCTGTCTGCCTGTCTCCCTATCTGCCTGTCTGCCCGTCTTTCTTGAACATGTTCATCCTCTTCAACTCCATCCCATTGTGCCTGTCAAGAGGTGAGGTCACCCTCATTACGACGCCAACCGACGCCACGTGAAAGTGAAGGTGAAAGTGAGAGTGATATTGAGCCTTCACTTCAGTCTTGCTTGTCATCTCACCTTGTCGTTGGATCCATGCCTAAACCAAGTCATGTCCATGTCCCCTCACAACTGTTTTCATCTGGCTTCTCACGAATCGCCTTCGCCTTCGTCACTCCATCAACGGTATCCGTTACAGCTACGCTTTTCTCTCTTATCCTAATAGCTATTGCTGGCCTTCGCCTCGTATTGTCGGCACCCACACCGCGTTATTATCTCAACTACGATAACAATACCAAGAATGACCATGTCCAGCAGCCCTTTCAGGTGCAGGTTGGCCTTCGCCCCTACTATCTGGTTGACAACATGGACGAGGGGCCGTTGAAACAAAAGCTGCAGTCTTGTTCTGAAAAGACGTCCAAGGTCAGCAAGTTTGTCGTTGGACACCGCGGTGCCCCTCTTCAGTTTCCCGAACATACAAGGGAATCTTATATGGCTGCTGCGCGTGAAGGTGCTGGGGCCATTGAATGCGATGTCACTTTTACATCGGACAAGAAGCTTGTTTGTCGACATGATCAGTTAGTGAAGCATTTCACTTTCTCGGCAGAACTACTTTCATACATACATCCATTTCTTTACGTCCGATAAGCACGAATACCTGGTTCTCTGCTCTCGTTTCTGCTGAGACCCAACGCTGATATCCTCCAGATGCGACTTACACTACACTACCAACATTCTAGCCACTGACCTCGCTGCTAAATGCACCAGAGGCTTCACCCCTTATGATGTAGCAACGGGAACCGATGCGACGGCAAACTGCTGTGCCAGCGACATCACTCTGGCTGAATTCAAAACGCTATGCGGCAAGATGGATGGCTTCAACCCAAACGCCAGCACCGCTGAGGAATTCATGGCCGGCACGGCAAAGTTTCGCACCGACCTATACTCGACCTGCGGCACACTCCTAACACACGTCGAGAGCATCCACCTAATTGACAGCTACGGTCGCGACTTCACGCCAGAAGCCAAGCACACCGAAGTGCAGATGCCGTTCAACGGGTACACGCAAGAACAGTATCTCCAAGACATCATCGACGACTACAAGAATCTCGGCATCGACCCCGCGCGCGTATGGCCGCAGTCATTCGTGCCAGACGACGTATTCTGGTGGATCAAAAACGAGCCCGAGTTCGGCAAGCAGGCCGTCTATCTCGATGAACGGATGGAGACGCTCGAAGGCTACAACATGGCCACGGCCAGCTTACCCGCGCTCGCGCAGGCGGGCGTCAAGATTGTAGGACCTGCTCTATTTGCGCTGACGAAGCTGGATACCGATCGGAAGATTGTGCCGTCCGAGTATGCGATCGAGGCTAGGAAGGCGGGGTTGGAGATCCTGCCGTGGAGTTTTGAAAGGTCTGGGTGGTTGAATCAAGGGGGCGAGTACTTTTACCAGTATATCGCGCCTGTTATTCGGAAGGATGGGGATATGTATACGGTGCTGGATGTTTTGGTGAACGATGTGGGGGTTTTTAAAATGTACTCGGATTCGCCGGCGACGGTTGTTTATTATGCCAATTGTATGGGGTTGCCTTGAGCTGGGTTCATAGCTCGTGGCGTTACTTGTAGAAGATAGACTTTCCCAAGGTACATTTCAATACTGTTTCAGATTCCCTGAATATCTTCATCATCTGGTCCCGTATAAATTGCCATAGTGCGCATGCCCTTAGCTACGGCTCTAACCTATTTCCTTGTACATGCAGCTGATAGTTCTAGTCAAAAAAGTTAACGGATGAGCTGTAGATATAGACGAAGAGATTAGAGAATTTACGAGTGCACTTACGTCCGGAATGCTCAAATCTTCAAATCTTCAAACCAAGTCTTGCATCTTATCATTCTTGTTTTTGATAATGGCGGTAACCAACATATCACGTATTTTGCGGTTCGCTATCGCAAGAGGATCGTTTCCCTTGAACTCACGGGTTATATACTCTCCTCCAACTTTTCGAACCTTGTTAATGTGCCACAGAACGTAGTAGTTTACTTTCTTCTCGATCACTAGTTCGAGGTAGTCCTGTATGAATATGTCGACAAATTCGGCGATCTGGTGTGTAACGGCGAGACAAACAGAGCAGTCCTAAGGTCTTCAGTCCAAGTCTTGAGATCTTCTTCTCCTAGATTTCCTTGAGATTGAGCTCGATGAGCCGTCTCACAACCTTTTCCGTAATCACGTCACCCGTATCAACGCTATTAATCAAAGTGGTAATGACATCTTCACGTTGCTGGCGCTCAGGGTCTGTGGATTCGCGAAGTGTCGCCAAGAAGATCCATTGCTTGAAGAATGTACGTCTCTATGATGAAAACTTCCCGCAACGTCTCGAATTGAAGAAATGTATTTATGATATCTCTCTGCTTGTTTGCTAGAGCGGATTTGAAAGTCGTGTCTGGAGAAAACGCGATGGTGGGATCGGAACTCAGAAGTGTCTCTAGCGTCTTCAAGCTAGAGAGTCTGCTGCAGCGTACTCCAGAGCACGGTGTGTGGAAAACGAGTCTGGGTTTTGTGATTGAGGTACCTGGACAAACAGATCGCGAGACAGTGGTATGCGAGATTTCTCCAAAACTAAGAGTTGTGCCCGCTCGATCAGATATTTGATCGCCCTGCCATTTCCCGTTGCCGCTGCCTTATGGAAAGGTGTTGTCTCCAAGTTCGTTTTGTGTTTGGTGTCGAGTTCCTGGTGCTTGCATCTTTTTCTGATGGTAGTGCCTTTCCATGTAGTTGATAGCTTGGAATCGTTAAATGGATTATCGAATGCCAGGTGAGCTGCAAGATTAATAATGATCGGAGTGATCCGAAAACCCAGGCTTTGCTCCGAATCGGGGCTCTCTTCCTCTTCCTCGCCATTTTCTCCCACAGCTATAGTAGTTTGATCTACTGCCTCATAAAGAATCGGCCAGCGGATGCAGTCATCCATTTACACGCATCATCCATATTTAAATATTTAATGAACTCAGTTAGAATCTCTAGACGACCTTGACCACCAGCGTACATTAGCATATCGAGAGATGTGAGAGAAGTATATCTGGAAGCTAGAGATTTAGATACGTAGCTTACCTCAGTAGATGTTTGTGGGATTAGGACGAGGGAGGCATGATAGATGTACAGCCACAAATAGCATTTACTTTGCAAGTTTGAAACTGCAATCTAAATCCTACGCTACTACTGTATTCTGCTTATCCACCAGCCAATCACTTCCAAACCCGTCACATTCCCTATATGTCAACGACAACTAATTACCCTAATAGTCGTTGCGGACCTGCTCATGCACCCTCTTATGCGCATCATGTTTCGCCCTCTCGCGATCCACAAAGCTCAACTATCACTAATCAGCCTTACTGTATCCCTTATCCCCTCTTTCTCTTTCCGCACAACGACAAGAACAACAGCGACGATAGAGCACTTACCCCCTTTGTCTCAAACTCGCGATCAATGAACGCGCCCGCAAACCCAGCAAGAAGTTCCTTGGCCTGAGCATGAGAATCCGGCTTGCCGTTCTGCGCGCAGTGTTTTTCGTATTCTCGCGCTGCCTGGATTCTCGCTCGTTTAGTATTTATTGTGAGGAGAGGGACGTGGGTGACTTTTGCGGGATGGACGCGAGGGGGGGGGGGGGAGACGAACGTAGTATGCTGCTGCACCGCCGACGAGCTCGTGGCTCATCTTCGCTTTGTGCTCGTCGGGAGCTTGTTGGAACTGTGATGCGAGCGGAATGGTCAGTCAAATGTGTTTGGTGAGGGGTAACTGAGATAAGGTAGGTAAGGAGGGGCAGGGTGGATAAGAAGCGTACTTGATCGTAAGCTTGACGCTCATCAGTTTCGCCGTCGAACCATCCCATGGTGAAGGATTGTTTGGTTATCGAAGTGTGTAGGTGTAGTGGTGAAGGAAGTGGTGTTTTTCTACTTATAGATGGATGGAATGGATGTGAAGGAGGTAGAGGTGGAGGTGGGAGGAGCGGGGTTGTAAGAGGTGATGCAAGCTTACGAGTACTTTTATTATATAGGGTGAGGCGCTTGCGCCACAGTGGAGTGATCCACCAATCGAGGTCCGATCATCAAAATCTCTACATATAGGGTTTTGTCATAAAAACTGCAACTTTCTACAAAATATGCTTTTACAAGGCTTGTATGGAGTCCCGCTGCCGGAAACACTCTTTTTCTAGTAGAAGGTGGGGGATTTTAGCAGTTTGATCACCAAATAAGATATAAATGATCTATCTATCCAGGGGGGTTTTCAGCTAATAGAAACCCTCTATTATCCTGGTTACATCCTGGTTTTAAGTGGAAAGTTGCAGTATTTATGAAAACACCCTGTACCAAATCCAAGGCTCGGACTTAGGAGGAAGGGTGGAATTATTTTGATGGAATTAATCTGGTCTTCTACTTGGAATTCCTTGATAATTAGATAGTATTGCTATAAATCTGAAAGATACCTTTGAGAACACTGGAGTTCATTCTTACCCAAAGGCAATTGTTTCCTATTACCATGTGACAAACTCTTCTCGACCTACTAGGTGATCAAGCTGTTTCAGCAGTTGACATGGGTAGATCCCATATTCGCACTCCATCACTATCCATACTAGCAATCAAAATAGTCTTCCTCTTCTCGTCCTCCCAAATGGTCGTCATATATCCACCGTGTGCAATTTCTTTTCCCTTTCCATTCCCAGCACCATCTTCATCTGCCTCGATCTCTTCAGGCTGCGGATCAACGCCTGGTCTAGCAAATCGCCACTTCTCCGATGTCTCTAAATCATAAGTTTCAAATCCACCATCTCCTGAGATCAAAGTCACAACCTTTCTCCCACCATCCACGAACTTGACAGCATTGCATTCAAGATAGCTACCCATCATGCGCTTGATCTCCGGTTCCACTTGACACGCATCGGTACTCAAGACTCGTTGCTGAGTAACTTTGTTCTCAACAAGATAGTAAAGAAATAACAGTCCTGGTCCACCGCCATGACCTCCCCCAACGGCCACGGCCTGACTATCAGCGGACCAGCTCAAAGCACGCAGCCAGCCACGACCTGTCTCGGGCTTGTGTTGTACCAGAGTGGTGCCATCTATCATCGAGTAGACGTAAAGGGTCCCATCCCCACAAGTGCCTGCAAACTTTTGTGAATCTGGTGAGAAACCTCCTGTCCAATTCTGATTCGCAGTCTTAAACATGTACTTCTGGTCCCCGTTCTTGGCATCCCAAATTCGCATAGTCTGGTCCCAAGAAACAGTAGCAATCATACTTTCATCTGGGCTGAAGCCAACCCACACAATTGCATCGCTGTGGCCCGAAAGAATGAAAAGGTCCTCGTGGGTGACTATTGAGAATATTTTCATGTCCCAAACATCATTGCCGTTAGACCTTGGTCGTTCACCAGGCATGTATATCAAGTAGCTGCCAGAAGGACTAAATATGTGGGACTGAAATCCATCTTGCAGACGGCCAATCAAGGACTTTCTGCTAGCCGCGCCTCGGATTTTGACGATATTTGTTATGGCAGGCTCAATGGTATTACTTAAGCTCTTCTCATCTTCAGGAGAAAGATTGAGCCTCGGATCTGCTTTCTGTAAGCTTGTGATAGCGGTCTCGGCAGCTTCACCGGAAATCTTCGAGATGATCTTTTCGTCAAGCATTGGATTGTCTTGCTCAACATCGAGATTCCAGAAAAGAATGGTGGGCTCTCCAGAACCAGGACGAAAACCGCTTGCAGCAGATACGAGGAGCTTAGGATCTTTTGGATGGAAGTCAAAGCTTTCGATTAGTGAGACGTGACCCCTGAGGACAAGAACCTTGGTGAAGTTGGCGGTCTCATAGATATGGATGTCCTCTTTCCATGCTATTGCTATCAGGGTTTTATCACTATTGACAGAAGCTCCATTTGGGGATTCGGAAAATGGAATTCTGTATCGCTCGCTACCCCAAGTGCGAAAGCCATCTCTGGCATATTTGACAGGTTCTCCAGAGGGGCTTGTGAAGTCCTTGGCTAGACTATAACGCCAATCCTTGTAGAATTGATGGCTGGAGTACGAGGGCATGATGAACAATATTAGGGTGAAGGAGAGAGAAACATGGTGAGGAATGTTCTTGTAAATGATCTAAACACTCATCATCTCTGACTGCTGCCTGAAATCCTTTGGTTGGACGTCAGAGGCAGGTATGTGACCAATCAGGTCTAGTGTTATGTAAAGGGGAAAGATTATCTAGTACAGCGACACAACTAAATAGTGTCAAAACGTGATTTTTTTTAATGTGACCCCCCCTTCGCAAAAACACCACTTTTTTGAACATATTTTTATATAATAACATACTAATATCTCTATAACTATATCTCTAATTAACATATTACTTATATACTTTTATTTCTAGTATACTAACTACTAGAAAGAAAGTAAAAGTAAAAACTATATCTCCTTATTATACGGTGGTGGGGTCCAAACGGGCTGTCACGTGAAGTGGGGTATGCAGCTAGCACTGCACCGTACCTTATAAAATCGGACACTTCGATGAACTTAGACGAGCATCGATTCTACAACACACTCTTTTATACAGATTATTTAATATATATATATTTATACAATGATGAAACTATAAGTCAGATCCTAGCCTAGAGTCCGCGGTTGTGTTGTCCCTCCACAATACCTCTTCAGATCAGTTAGTCGCCACCTCTTTCTGCAAGAACAATCCTAAATCTTCTTCTCCTCTCCAACTATTGAGTGTTGACCCTCGATCGGGCCAACATGTCCTCAAATGAACACAAGCTCCAAAAGTTTCTTCAGGAGAACGAATCGATTGATTACATTCGTCTTCAATGGCTCGACTACTCTGGCATTCTGCGCACCCGGTTTCTTCCTGTTGCTCGATGCCTGGAAATAGCTCAAGGAAATGAGGAATACCTTCTTCCGCAAGTGAGCATGATCTTCCCAGTCTCAACAGGCCCGACGAACCCTGGAAGTGATCTCGAAATCTGGGTACTGCGCCCTGACTGGTCCATGCTACGTCGCTGCGGATTTAGACCTCGTCATGCCTCTGTCATGTGCTTCTTGGAACACAAAGAGGCCGAGGAGACGTACAGCAAGTGTCCGCGGATGCTATTATCTCGTGCCCTTGAAAGGCTTGAGAAAGAATGGCACACAAAGGTCCTGGCCGGCTTTGAGATTGAATGCATGCTCTTGGACAAGAACTGTGAGCCGCTCAATGTATTGGATCGGTTGAACAGCTATCAGACCACTGCGGGGTTGCGAGGCCAGACACTAGACATAGTGGAGGAGATTCTCGACAATCTCAAGGACTCATCTATCCATATCTATCACTTCCATACCGAAACCCACGATCAGATAGAGTTTGCGCTCAGTCCTGAACCGCTACTCCTCGCTATCGACTCTCTAATCCTAGCACAGGAGACTATACGTACCGTCTTCGTTAGGCACAATATTAAGGCAACAATGACTCCTAAGCCACTCCTCGCAGGTCCAACGAATGGCATTCACTTACACATGTCGGTTGACCAGCTAGCCCTGCCGGACACAAATAATTTCCTCGCAGGTATTCTGAGCCACATGAGTTCTCTTTGCGCCTTCGGGATGGCCAGCTTTGACGGGTATGTTCGGACTGGGACAGACGCAGCTGGCGCGTGGGTCGGGTTTGGCACTGAGAACCGCGACTTGCCAGTGCGCAAGATAAGCGATCAGCATTGGGAGTTCCGTATGCTGGATAGCACCTCAAACTCGTACCTATTCTCTGCGGCTGTTATTCTGGCTGGCTTGAGTGGGCTGGCCCAGAAGGCGGATCTTGTTTGGGAAGACTGCCGCGTTTTCCCTAATTCGCTGGATGACGGAGAACGTGCAAAGTACCAAATGAACAAAAGAATGCCTGCTAGTTTGCAGGAAGCATTGGAGTCGCTGAAAGCGGACGCTACAATGAATACTTTGATACCGAAAGACTTATTGAACGCCTACATTCACGTGAAGGAGAAGGATGTCCAGATATTTCAAAAGATGGGAGAGGATCAGAGGCGCCTTCGGTTCTTAGAATCTTTTTGATGATTGTTCCTCTCTACGTTGCGACATTGGGGCTTAGTTTCAGGTTAGAATGCTTATTTCAGTCGTTACCGGAGTGTTGCTTTTCAAGATAATAGGGCAATGGTACAAATCGACACATAAATATCATTATTCAAAGCGCTACTCAATGATTATGCCATTTCAGGGGTCCAATGATCCTATTACTCGAACACGTTCTGCTATATGCCGTTGTCAACAGTAAATTAGTTAAGGGTTCCCATCCACCACCTAAAAGACACTTTGTCCAATAAACTCAGGTCCTTCGTCACGAAAAGCCACCAGTCTAACTTCTATACTGTGTCGTAGTTCACTTGATGATTCGGGATTGTGGAATGAAAGTTATCGCTTTGTGACACTATTAATAGATAGGTAACTTGCTGTAAAAGTGCATTCAGTAGAATTACTTTATTAATTAATTATATTTATATATACAAATATAAATACTACTTATATATTAATCTTTAGATAATACCTATAGGTTAGTAATATAATAAACTTACTAACCTAGATAGGGGTAAACCACCGCTTCTATAGTAGGCAACAAATTCTCAATGATAAGAAATTTTATTAGCGGGGAACTAACTAAAAGCCTGCTAACAAACTTCTTGCATGTGCCGGACGCTTAGCAGAATGGAGCTGCCAGCCCTTCCTATTTTTTTGCTAAGGATGACGCTGTCTAGGGATCAGCCAATGTAACCTATGCCTTTTCTAACTCCAACAACTAAGGGAAACTCCAACAGCTGAGGGAAACTCCTGCCCAATCAAGTCTGTGTAAGTGCGCACTACCTGCTTCGAGTGGAGCTCCCCAACTATTGCCAACAAGCATATGACGTAGGGCGCATGCTGCATCCAGAACCGTCCGATGCACGGTATATCACGCACTATTTACGGAGTAATGTAATGGAAGGGTTTCACTGTGGATGTAACTGACTTGTCCCCCGGCATTCACTCGCCTCCCGTGACACGGTTCCTGGTTAGCCGCAAGCTCAGCCCTACGAACCATTGGTATCAATTGGCCCCTATTCTGGACCTGATTACCAGGTGTTTTCGAAAAACGCTCGAGTTTGAACTATTAACAACGACGACGACCGCACTGTCTAGGCAACAATATGCACTCGCTAGCGCCTTATGTTGTTGGCTCGTTGGATAAGGCCTAGTGTTATTTTAGCAATGATCGAATCTCTTTGTGCCATATTTCTCCGTCAAGGCCCTTTTGCAGTCCTCCATAGCACAACAAAGACTTTCACGACAGCACTCCTCAGCAAGACAAGGAACCTAATCCGATCTCACTTAGCACCCCGCTTGCGTCTCTTGCTCGATCCGATACACACTCCTACTTCCCAAAATGGTCATCTCCGTCAATACCAACGCCGATATGCCAGTATGTTTGAACTCAGAACAAAAGCAGGCCAAAAAGGCCAAGCAGCTCGCACAATTTCACTCCGGTATCCCCGCGAAGAAAGCCCAAGGAGCCAGAATCCAGGGTTGCTTCAGCAGAACTATGCTTGTTACGTTACAGGACAGCAAGGAGGTTGTCATTCAATTCCGGCCCGAGCCCCTGGATATTGGACCTTTCCAGATTGCTAGGCAGGCCCTCGGACAAGTTGTTCCGGACATCGAACTACTCAAAGACGAAGAGCTAGAACGTGAGCATATTTGGACGTATTGGATGAATCGTATCCCAGGCAAGACTTGGTTCGACGGCATTAGGGGCGGAGGCCCAAAAGTCATTGTCACAATCAACAAGTCACTCGGCAGGATTCTTTCTCGGGGTTTTGTTGAAGGAAATAGCGCCAACGTCGTCAACAGCACACTCCGCCCTCATCTTGAAATGCTCGTGTCTACGCAAAAAAGCGAGGTCCAGCCATTTCGGGAGGTCGCTCAAGAATTCCTCGGCAAGTTGGATCAATTAAAGAGACTCCCACTCTTTATATCCCACTTCGACCTCAACCAGGTAAACATCCTGATCGACGAAAACTATCAGGTATCAGGGATCGTTGACTGGGAACTTTCATCACTCCTTCCCTTTGGGATGGCCTTAGCCGGATCCATACGCTCGCCGGTGAATTCTCTGAACGCAAGTTCTACATGCCAGACGAATTTGAAGAGTCAGAGAGGGGTTTCTGGGAAGAGATCTTTAAAGGTGTCCGCGCAGACATACGAAAACTTCTCAATGCGAACCTAGAAGCGGTTCAGACGAGTGTTTTATTAGGGACACTGTTGGGCACTTTTGAACTGGATGATGGGAAACTTGGGCCATGCAATCCCGTAAAGGTTGTGGCCTTGCCAAAATTCCTCTCTTACCGAATTCCATTTTTACGGGCTCGGATCCGCCTTATGCAAAGTAAGCGTAGGAGTACATAGATCCTTACACATATACCGAAGCTGATTTTTTGTAGATAACCGTCCTTTGCAATGATAGTGTTCAAGATTAGTGCCGCTTGCAGCTTTGGCATAGGGGTGAACATCGACGCCCTCATTGCGCTAAACTTATGCATTATGGTTGCTGCTTGTCAGCTTTGGCATGGGGGTAATTATCAACACCCCCATGATGTGAGGCGGTCAAAATCGGGGTGGGCCTGTTTTAGAGCAGTTGTGTACGGATTTAAGATCCCAATGTTTGTCAAGTTACTTGTTCTAGTTCAGCAGAGCGAAAGAGGTGTAGTGTATTTGGTTTCCATAGTCAAAGTTGACAATTAAGTTAATCTCTCCCTATAATTGGTCCTACTTTCAAGGGATCATCCGCATTTCGAATCTAAAGTTCCGCCGCAACGTTGCCCGTATACTGCCTCGGACCAAGTTCATCTGTCCGACCATACCCTCCTCTCAAATGTTTAACGTAAAAGAATAGGAGAAAGGGCAAACCTTGCTCAACTGCGGGAGTTGTGGGAAAACGGGCAAAGATAGCTCTATTATTTAATATGGTGGGGAGATATAGATTTCTGTTTTTCACTATGGCCCGGCCCATAAATCGGATTAGTCATATGATTAGTCTATAAGATTTTTACTAAAAGCTAAATTACTTAGGCATCAAATTCTACACCTCTATTTCACGATTGCTTTGATAATTGCCCCTCTCCTTGTGTTTGTTTTGTGGTGTTGTTGCTTGCGCTAGTCCCGTTCCACATGGAAGCACGTAACCCTCATTTGACTCTTTCACACTACTTCACTCGACTAAGTAATTCCTTATATGAATCGACTACTAAACCCTAACCAGGATTTGATTTATAAGATAAGCATAGGACCGTAGGGGATATAGTTTACACCTAAGCGCCAAAGCGCTTTTTCGTCGCGTGCACGTGACAGCGTGCCAAGGCGTTGCCAATCCTTCCGACCGAAATCTCCGGCAACTCTACTTTCTCATCTGATATAAATGAATGCTTTCTAGAGTGATTTCGTCTTAGCATCCTTAAGCTTGGTTGAATACTATCCCTTCTCTATATCTGAAAGTCATATATTCAATGCGCTCCGCCCCGCGCAAAAGAGCGGCAGAGGTGTGCCAGAACTGCCATCGACGCAAAGTAAGATGCGACGTTAGTTATGCCGGCCCACCATGTACAAAATGTTCGACCAACGGTGAAGCATGCGAAAGCAGATCGCGAAAGTCATACGCGTATGTTAGGAGGTCCAAAGCCTCAGCCAGTAGAGACATTAGAACTAATTTGATTCAACAGACCAAGGAAGTCGAAAATGTCTGCTATGCGAGGAGAAGAAGAGCTCCAGGACTTAATAGGCGCATCCGCTGGTGAAACCACCGGGGCAGAATCTTCTACATGCACAGATCTAGAAGATAGTAGAGATCAGGTCGTTGCCAACGCCATCAGTTCCAGCGAACCGCTACTGCCGAACGCGGAAACCGTACCTCTCTTCGTTGGAGACCTTCAAGGCATTGGGGCTCTGCTAGTTGCCACGGACTCTGAGTCTGCAAAGAATAACCAAAGACGGCATCTGATGATACCAAGAACTGCTGCAAAATCTCTTCAACCGGAGGACCTCGAGTACCTGAAAGCGAAGGGGTGCTTTTCCTTGCCCACTGCTGACATTTGCGATGCTCTCATCGAATCTTATTTTCGGTTTGTCCACCCTCTTCTCCCTATTATTGGTGGACAGGAGTTCCTCGGTAGATATGAGAAGTACGGCGTGCAACAGGTCAACTTACTATTGTTGTGGAGCATGTTCTCGGTGTCAGCAGGCTACATCGAAGACAATATCCTCAAACGATCGGGCTATGACTCCCACAAATCATTCAAGGAGGATACTGTAAAGCGTGCAAAACTTTTATTCGATCTTAGTTGTGAAAATGACAAGATCATCCTAATATCATCAGCCCTCTTACTCAGCCACTGGTTCGTTGATGCAGAAGACGTCAAACAATCTTGGTATTGGACTGGCATTGCGATTAGCATCTCGCAGACGATTGGCTTGCACCGAAATCCCGACGCCAAGCGAAGAAATTCCGCGTTAAATGATCAACAGCGCCGGTCCTGGAGGAATATCTGGTGGAGCTGCTTGCTTAGAGACAGTTGGCTAGCATTCGGTATGGGAAGGCCGGCACGCATCAATTTAAAAGACTGCGATTGTCCAATACCAACAGCCGGCGATGCTGAGCTAAATGTCCGTGATATTATCATCAACGGAAAAGACGTATATACACCTGATACTGCCTCCTTTGCAAGCTTGTGGCTCGACCTCCTCAAAGTTAGTGCTGCCCTGAATAAACTTCTAGGCGTCAGATATCGCTCCCACCGTGGCCAGCCAACTTCATCCGACATTTCCGCTCTCAGAAAGGAAGTAGCTCCCATATTTGAAGTAGCTGAGACATCTAGTTCTTCAAACATAACGCTTACTATTGCTATTCGGTATGCAGTTCCCACCAGCACTTGATTTTCATGGTTTGGACTAACTGGGTGGTTTGGGGGTCACGGGAGTTCTAAGACCCTCAAACCTCCATATAATTCTTATTGGGTGGGTAATACTAACTCTAAGGGCTTGCAGGCACTTGCACTTGCATCAAAGAGCTGCTCAGATTGCACTTTTCCGTCCAGACACCGACAGCCATGCTATTGAAAAGGTTCAAGATGCTGCGGGAGCAATAAACAACATACTTGAGAGAAGTATGGCCGATGGTAGCGCTATTTATACAGCGCCAAGCACATTGGCACTTATTGTGCCAGCTATGATCACACATCTGAAAGCTGCCAGATCAAGCATTCCACTCACGAGACAGTTAGGTGCTCACAAGTTAGAGTTGTGCTTGATGTTTCTGAAAACCCTTCAGAACAACTATCCTGCGGCAGGCATTATTCATCGGCTCTTCGTTGCTATCAAAGAGACGAAAAAAGAAAACGAGGAAGTCGCAGTTGGACGTAGCGATCACCAGTCATTAGTTAATGATTATCTGCCTGCTACCACAGACAATTCAGATGTCGATACCCCTTCACAACAATCTACCTATGGATACAGTAGTAGCGAATTTGCACTTCTTCCTATGGCGGACCAAATTTTTGATTTGACAGCAATGGATAGCACCGATCCGTACGTACTATCTAGTTCTTCTCCAAAAAATTATACTCAGCCATGCGAATGTTCAAGACTTACCAGTCGTAGAAATTTCTCATCAATGAACTTTGAGCTGGATGCAACCCAAAATATATTCGGCTCTGAGCTGCTTAATGGTTTCTCAGATTTGATGGATCCATACACATCTTTGTCTTAGAGTCAAGCCACCCCCGTACCTAAGGACGTATGTGTGTATTACTATTTTATAAGCTGTCTCTAGTTGAGCGGTGCCGTTTTTCCAAACCCTGTCCTATATTGTCTTCAAGCACTTATCTCAGTTACGACATCATCCTCAATTGCTGAATAGACTACAACATCGACCATGGAGTTACGTAGCACCGATGGCTCATATAAACATAGTTTCCAGTAACAATGTCTCACACGCTGCCGAACATTTTCGGCTGGTATGATCCTACTGTGCTAGAGGAGATTTCCATTGAATCTCCAACTTCAGCATTCTTTTGGTCCACAAAACTGTGCAGATGGCACCAATTCCGGCCCATATCCACGGGAGACACCAGCCTCACTTCTCGTTAGCCTGCGCTATAAAATATGAGGGGAATATGCCTACCAAGGGCAAAGACAACATTGAGGTCTTCAACGATGTAGACAATTGCAGTTGTACCCCCTGCTACTATCATCGAGCCAATACCCCAGAACCAATTCATCTGCGCAATAAGCCTACGAAACACCTTGCTAGTCTCGTACCTAGCCATCAAAGCATCTCGGAATTCTGGACCGCCGCCACCATCAACACCAACAATATCTTCGATTAACACGAAGATCCCTGGTTTCATAAGGCTCCCCCTTGTTGTCGAAGAAAATCGGACCGGAGTTTTCAAACCTAAGGCTGCCATGAGCCCAGTGACAATAAGCTGGCTGCTGGCGAGATAGAGTATAATGGCTTGCGGCATTGATGCTTGGCGAATATTTACTGGTTCCTCACCTGTCGCAACAGACAGAACAGCTGTTACTATGATAAAACCAACAATCATATTCCAGCTGAAGTAATCAAGCTGCGGTCCAGGTTAGTTAGGAAGTTTGAGTCACATTCCAAGATAATTTCGAATTACTCACGCCATACCAGCGTCCGCCAGTAGGGGTTTGCTGAAAACCTGGGCGCAGTAATCGCCATGTCCTGAATCCCATTGACAGGATAGACAAGCCAAGCAAAATGGCAGTTGGAACCGTCAAAGCGTTATCGATGCCACTCTTGGTCCCATACCTCAACAAGAAGTAAAAGAATTCAACTTGTATGGATGTTATAATAATCAAACTGGACCAAATGATCGTAATGGAACGTTTTCTGGTTTGAAGAGTGTACGGCAGTTATGTTAACTCGTCCATATCTGTTTGGTATCAAAGATTGGTTCAATTATGATTTCTGGGTTCTATGATGAATGCTTTGCGGCGTATATCCGTTGTAGTGTTTAAGCTGTTGGAGCTGGTGATTTTAGATATTGGTGACATCTTGTCTTGGAGGCGAGCTGGTAGACAAGATATAGGTTCCGATGTTCCTACTTCACCAACCAAAAGCTGATATCAGACTGCGCCTAGTAATTACGAACCTTATGCAGATCCCGACGGCACTTTCATAGTCTTTGGAGGTCTTGACTGTGGTAAGTTAAGGCCGGGCAGTAAGCCGGTAGTTTCGGTTACTTGGGAAATTGCCGAATGTGCCGGCTCCAGTGGAACAATACTCCTAACACAAGTCAAATATGCGGCAAATCCTTGGACCCTTGGCGGATACTTAGTTCAAATGCATCGCGGTTCTTGGTATTTTCTTGGGTCAAGACAGAAGTTGGGAAAACCCAGCAGTCAAGAAGAGTTATCGAAACGACACCCGTCACAGCCCTGTCATCTCTCTATTCGCAATGCCTCCAAAACAGGTCACAGAAACCACTTCAATGGGCGATGGTTCCTTGACTGCGCTATCTCCGACCCAGGGGGAAACGTCTGAATCTGTTCATAAGCTCTTGGATCCGATCTTGAGTGGCTCATCGCCCAGCTACGCCGCGTATTCGAGCCAAATATATTTTACCAAGCACCAAACGTCTCAAACACCTGCTGTCACTCCCAATCTTGCATTACTCGAAGAATCGGCTCGAGCTCGTCTTCCTTCCGAAGCTTATAATTATGCTGCAGGAGGAGCAGGTCTCGAATCGACTGTCTCTAAGAATGTCTCTGCATTCAAAACATATTCCATTGTTCCGCGCATGTTACGTCCCGTTTTGCCCCGACGAGATCTAAGCCGTACGGTCTTTGGCCAAAAGCTGCCTGCTCCAATTGTTATGGCACCGATCGGTGTTCAAAAGCTGTTTCATTCCGACGGCGAGCTCGGGACTGCCAAGGCCTTCGGAGAAATGGGACTGCCATACACTATGTCAACTGCAAGTAGTACTGGTATGGAAGACGTTGCTCAGGCTAATGGGGCCGGAAACCCTCGTTGGTACCAGCTTTACTGGCCTACTGATGACGAACTCACACGCTCCTACCTGAAACGCGCGAAGGCAAGCGGATACGAGGTACTTGTTGTGACTGTTGATACATGGGAACTGGCATGGAGACCACGCGACCTGGAGACGGGTTTCTTTCCGTTCGTTGATGGTGTGGGGACCACTCTTGGACTTGAAGATCCTGTGGCTCAGAGCCAACTTGGATTTAATGCAACTAACAAGATGGCATCCAAGGAACAGAAAACGATGGCGAATCTGTACCACGTGGTTTCAACTAGCAGAGGCGTGAGTCCTCAGTGGGAAAATCTCCACAAACTAAGGACTTGGTGGGGAAAGGGACCAATTGTACTCAAAGGCATACAAAGTGTACACGATGCCCAGCTTGCTCTGGAACATGGCATTGATGGGATAATTGTCAGCAATCATGGTGGTCGGCAAGTTGACGGTGCAATTGCTTCTGTTGATGCACTCGGTCCCATCGTCGACGCTGTAGGTGGGAAATTAACTATTGGGTTTGATTCGGGTATCAGATGTGGTGCGGACATCTTCAAGGCGTTGGCGATTGGAGCAGACTTTGTGCAACTTGGGAGACCTATTCTTTGGGGTCTGGCATTAAAGGGAGAGGAGGGCGTAAGGCATGTCTTAAAGTGCCTATTGGCCGAATTTGACTTGACGGTGGGCTTGAGCGGCTGTACTGGATTATCGGATATATCAAGGGATATATTGGTAACCCGATATAGTTCACCTATTCGCTCGTTGCTATAGTTGGTTAAATAGTTTCAAATACTTTTCCCAAGTATTAAATGTTAATATTATCAATTATAAATTCTATAAACGTAAAATGGTAGGAGGAATAGGAGTAATTGTCCGAGCAGACCCCCTCCTACAATCCGGGACGAGCGTCGCCCCAAAAGGTCAGGGGTATGCTCTGACAATTAATATATACTCTGCACTGTTCTATTAAAAACCAAGGCCTGATTCTGGCTACGCTAATTTTCGTACTTATGTACCAAAGTCCTAGAAACACCCATTCCCCCTCCCCCTAAAAACGCTACTGCTTGACCTCGTTGACATTAAGTACTTAGTCAACAACTATGACCATCAGCTTCATTTATGGGGTTCCAGTTATCGGGATCCCAATCAGGTTCTTCTGGGTCTGGATGCACAGAGTCTGCCCATGGTTCTCCCTTCGAGCCATCAGCTTGTGCTGCCTTCGCTCTACTCGTACATATCCCACACGGAGACGCCTACGCCATCTGCCCATCTAAATGAAACGACACAGCTGCAAAATAGTTAGTAAAAGCCTGGGAAGTAACAGTGGGGTAGGACACAAACCGAACTGATTATTTTTTCCCCCTTTGAAACTCATCGGATCGTAAAATTTACCCGCCCACTTTACAAGAGAACCCCTCGCGTAATGAGACGAGTAATTGTACAAACTCCCACTCCTTTACACCCGCGTCCCTTAACAATCCCTCATCGATATGTGTCAAACGCCAAATTTTGTTTCCTTCGATCTAGTTGAAATAAGGGGAGATATCGGCGGTTTTGGCAGTGGCTGAAACGGCACCCAAGACAATGACGAGCCAAAAGAACACTACTGAAGCCATTCTATATGTAAAAATAAAAGTGGAGCCTTCTGGGGATGTATTGGGATATTCATCACCCGAAGAAAAGAAAACAGAAGATCAGATGTACGTGTTCGACATCTGTCAACATACTGCCTGATCCGAATCCGAATCCGAATCCGAGCATCGTGTCAAAAGCATGGTGACGGTCATTACTTATTGCGAGTACTACTCACGCGGCTGGCGTTCAGCCACAATACGAGATAGCTGGTCTAAGTCACGCAAGGCCTCTTGTCTGCTTCTGCTCGATGTGAAAACGCCAGACCTGCATCGCAACAGTGAAGTCTAATGCAGGAGTTGTACCCGGGCAAGGCAGAAACAGGCGGACTTTAGGTTGAGAGGGGTCTTGGATGTTGCTGCTGTGCACGACTTCAACGAAATTGTAGCTTTTATAAATCTGGCAGGCGGACGCAGCAGAACGGAGCGAGGTCTGGCAGAGGTATTGGAAAAAGGTGTCAGTGATGATGAGGATCGTCAAAATTGCACGGCGATCTCTGCGAAAGCTACCCGTATTCCCTATGCCTTAACGGAGTATAGCGATGTTGTAGTCCTCGCGTTGTTTCTCATGGGCTAAGATGAGATCAAACTGTCATATATTAATCTGCTGTCTCAAGTGTAGGGAAGAAAACAGTGTGACTGGAAGGGGGACACAAACCTCGACATAGCGCATAGTCAGTGTATCAGCAAGTGCTATCATGTGACCTAGCCTTTAGGGCAAGATTGTCCCACAAGGACGGTTTCATTTGTGGTGCGGTTGGGGTGATTATCATAGCGGTTGTGGCCGTTGCGGGGTTGTCGCAAAAGGAACACTTGCCGTTACATTGCGCTGGGGCTGCTAAACCAATCTTTGCAAAATTAGAAATGCCTTTGAAAGCAAGCTCAGACCACTGACCTCTGAATGGGTGCGGCATTATGTCAAGCTGCTAGAAAACCGCCTCTTGATGTTGTATGCGGTGTGGCGAAGTTGGATATGTTCTAGCGGACGACGTGCTATTTTATAACACGAAAGACTACCTTTTCCACTCCACCCAAAATATGGATGAACTTATCATTCAGTAAATACTTTAAACCCCAAACTCGCCACCTAGATCGGGATCCTCGCCCCGTAGAAATTCCATCCAAGCATCATCCTGCATCACAACATCTGCTTCCAAAGCCGGGACATTGGGCCACATCATACTGTATACGTTATTCATTTGCGTTTGTGGGCTCTCATTGATAGGACTCAAGCCTCCAACAGGCTCTGGGCCACTTCCTGCATCTGATCTTTCACCAGTGTTTTCATCATCTTGTAGAAACCGTCCGCATAATTTGAGAATGACTTGGTGGCACCGGGGAGATGATGAATTTACAGGCGCGAGAGAAGAGATGGTGGATAAGGTGGCAAGGATTTGCGAACGCCATTCGGAGGCTTGTGGTGAAATAGGCGAGTTGCGAAGGCAAATGCAGGGGATCAAGGCTGCTTGAAAAAGGAAGTATCTTGTATTGTTAGCCTAATAGTACCGTGGTTGCAGGCGAGACTTACAAGGCATACCAAGCCGCCAGTTTTGTGTGCTCGTTCGCAGCCCAATAGTCTCGAATACCAGCGATTGTGTTGCGAGCTTCATCCAAGCATCGTTCATAAGCCTGGTGACTTTCCATGGCCTCATCTGAGCGGCCATTGCGAGCATATAGTGCTTTCCTGATGACGAATGGTCGGTATATGATTATTCGAAGGTTACGATATCTCCACATCATTACTGCGTGAGCGAAGTTATACTTTGGAGGGACAGAAACTTGTGGGGCAAAATAGGGGGCGATGTTCGCCAGCCACTCGCCCATGTAAGTATCGTCGAGGTGGAGAAGCTCCTTGGCGGTCGGAAATGGTTTAGAGATAACACGAGCGTAGATGCGGTTAGTTGCCATGTGGAAAGAAGCTTGAGAGCGAACAGCAGTATAGGGAGTAACCTCATTGGTTTGTGGCGGGTATGTTTGAGACGCAGCTGTGAGCTCCTACATCAGACATTAGTTGGGAGAGCGTGTTGAGAGAGGGATGTGTATACCCGATCATTAACATTCATGGGAAATGCAACTTCAATTCCGTCACCAGGCCATGACAATGGCCTGCTAAAGGTGATTGTAGCTCCAATATCAAAGATACATAGAGTCCACCAAACTCTTCGTCGAATCTCCATTTTTAGAGGAGAAATATTCCAGCCTTGGAACTCTTTGTGGAGCCCTAAGCCCATGGCCATACGAACGGCTAGGCCAGTATAGTTATACCCACTGTTGGGCTTATTTCGCTTCTGTTGATAATTGGAAACCAAGGTTAATGCCTGGACTAAGGTCAAGTTCCCTGTCTCCAGCAAGTTGATGGATAGCATGGACTTTGCTTGGGCGAAAAGTGGTAGGTCATTGCTTTCAAGAGTCGTTGAAGTCGTATATATACCAATTGCAGCAATAACATAGGCAAGAATCAACCAACAGTCTCCATTAGGTCTGGCAATTACTTCTGAGTATTGAGCTCTGAAAGTTGGCTCATGGACGATTGGGTAGCTCAGATGATAGAGTCTGAAATAGGCATCTATCATAGAATCAAGAATGTGCCTATTTGGGTTCGGTTGGGCATAGAAATTTGGGGGAATAGTCGCAGGTCCAATAGAGGTTTTTTCGATACGAGCTCTTGATACGGTTGACTTTCTGCGACTCGTGGGAGGTGGTGGATCAATGATTCGCAGTAGAGCTGCACCAGAAGCAACCCCCAAGTAACCTCCTTCTTTCTCGTCAACCGTCAAGGAAGCCATACCATCAATGACAGTTTCTTCTGCATCGCCATCCTCACTTGACTTGGAGGCCCATGATGCGATATCTGGATCTTCCATACCCGAAACATGCTGCTCATCCCACTCGAAGTCATCCATAGGTGGAACCTCTAGAGGATTTGAGGGATGATGTGCTTCATCAGGAGCGATCATGACATCTGTTTGATAGCCCCCCACGTTCAGCGACTCCGGACTTTGTCCCAAATCCAAGAAGTCAAGGTTGGGAGAGAGGTTCTGTGGTATCACGTAGTTTGTGACTGGAATGTCAAAAGCAGCGATTTTATCTTGATTCGAATTTTCAAGAAAAGGGGTTGATGTTGGTAGTGGTTGATCGAGAAACGAGAAGTCAAAGTCATTTTGGCCCTCCACGTGGTGCGGGGCGGGCTTGGAATCTGGAGTCGCTGACTGCAACCGGGTTGGCCGTGTTGAAGGGACGATACGAGCTTGTCGAAGCAGAGCCTCTGCTCTTTCCAACCTTTCTTCAACCTCGGTGAGATGCCTATATTCGAATTAGCTCTCTTCCATGTGATCTAGACAAGTCGTACACACTTTCTCGTTAGTGGGGTTTTGCTGTGCTTCTCGTACAAGCAATGTCTGTTATACTTGATGCATAGTCCGCAGGTAGGGATTCCCCGATTGCACTTTGCTTTCCGTCTGCGGCACTCTTTGCAGGCTTGGTCAGCAGTGCCTAGGGGTAGATCCCAAGCGTCCTCGGGCAGGGATTCTGAAGATGGCGGTATATTCCCATTCTCGGCGGGCTTGCGTTGAGCTGTTGTCTCAGAACCATCTTGACTATTTGGCATAATCTCGACGGTACATTGGAGGTTGGGGTTCTAGTCGTGTCCTGGCTGTTGTAATGTGAAGGCTGATGAAAGAGAGAATGTGAAATTGATTGACAGGTCACATGTCGGCATTGCAGTCGACACGAAAAGATGGAGACGAAACCGACCTTGCCTAGTTGGGACTTGTGGGGTATTCTGCCAAGCGGTGAAGCCTTTGCGTGTATGCCTCACTTGACCCTTTTAGGATTGTAATACTTGGTAGTATATATAATTCCTTTCACTTACTATGGTTCTAATCAAGACCATATATATATATAGAATGATCTTACACTTTACTAATTCCATAGATAGTGAAATTCATAAAAATCTTTCCCTGATCAACAGATGGACGGAAAGAAAAATCAGCTGCATGGTCCGATAACGCTAAGATTGTGTGACTTATGTTATTCCTCTGACTCCAATCCTCCTCTCTTCTCTATTCTCTCACACTCACTTGTTAATATATCATACCGTCACTTCTAATTGTAATGGCTCTCCGAATATCTGCAAAGCGAGTAGCGGCTACTCTGAAAGCCAGCAACCTCACCTCAACTTCCAATGGCATATTGAAAAGGAATGCCTCGCAAGCAACCGCCGCGGCGACAAACCTCCCAGAGACTACTCGAAATGAGATCTACGTTGGTACTGCACGACTTTTACAGAAGAAAACCTACTGATAGCAGCACACAGAGAGAAGCAAACCTCCCAAACCCGGATCCATCCTCAGATTCCTCAACCGCCGCTCTCGTGAACGAACAAGCCCCGTACATGGTCAAAACCTATGTCCGGCCCCCACCAATGTTCGTCAAAGGCGAAGGAGTTTATCTCTGGGACGTTGAGAACAGGAAATACCTCGACTTCACGGCCGGAATAGCAGTCAATGCGCTGGGACACTGCGATCCAGAAATTGCCCGCATAATGGCGCAGCAAGTACGTTGACTCACCGACACCCCCACCCCCAGTGCTTCTCCCCACTAACTCTCGCGGTACAGGCCAAAACACTCATTCATACGTCCAACCTCTACCACAACCCCTGGACAGGCGCGCTCTCCGAACTTCTTGTCCAGAAAACCCTCGAGTCGGGTAGCATGCACAATGCCCGATCCGTCTTCATCGCAAACTCCGGTACAGAAGCAAATGAAGCCGCCATAAAATTCGCTCGCAAAGCTGGCAAAGTCGTCGATGCGTCCGGAGGAAAGTACGAATTTGTATCTTTCCATAACTCCTTCCATGGCCGGACAATGGGCGCTTTGTCCGCGACACCGAACCCGAAATACCAGAAGCCTTTCTCGCCGATGATACCGGGGTTTAGGTACGGGACCTATAATGATGTTGCGGCTATTAAGGATTTGGTGACGGAGAATACTTGCGGAGTCATAGTTGAGCCAATCCAAGGAGAAGGGGGCGTGATTGTTGCGTCTGAAGAATTTCTCGTTGCTTTGGCCACTCGGTGCAAAGAAGTCGGCGCTGTATTGATCTACGATGAAATCCAATGCGGGCTTTCTCGCACAGGAACCTTCTGGGCTCACGCTTCGCTGCCCAAAGAGGCACACCCGGATATAATCACCACGGCCAAGGCGCTCGGCAACGGCTTCCCGATTGGAGCTACGATTGTGAATGATGCCGTGAGCGAGAAGATCGTAGTTGGGGACCATGGGACGACATTTGGTGGCAATCCTATGGGGTGTAGGTTGGCGCATTATATCGTGTCGCGACTTTCGGATCCGGAGCTCCAGAAGTCGGTTCTTGCCAAGAGCAATGTCTTCATTAAGCACTTCGAGGCTTTGCGAGCAAAGTATCCTGAGCTCATCGCGGAGGTTAGGGGTAAGGGTCTGATTCTAGGACTGCAGCTTACTCGGGATCCTGCTCCCATTGTGACGGCCGCTAGGGAGAGAGGACTATTGATCATTACGGCTGGGACGAATACGTTGCGGTTCGTGCCCAGTTTGACGATTACAGAGGGAGAGATTGAGGAGGGCATTCAGGTGCTTGATGAGGCAATAAGGGTGGTTGTGTCGCCTGGGGAGGCGCCAGCTGGGAAACAGGTCAGCGGGGAAGTAGATTCGCCAAACTAAGGCCCTTTCTACTGCTAATAATCTCTCATTCGCGGGCTCAATGGAAGAGATGGCGAGGAACCAGATCGCGAAATGGAGTTAGGCGTTGAGATATACAAAAGTTATTTGTAGATAGGTCCTGTTATTTATTCAACCATTTTACACTATATACACGGTATCTTGCATACATCTTTCTCAACGCCCTAGACGTGGTCAATCTTGCCCACAACCTCGTGGTGATCAACGCCCGCGCTGGCCAGGATCTTATCCTCATCAAGTCTCACATCCTCAACGTTCGCCGCCTCGCCATCAAAAAGCACCGCAATCTCCTCAAGACTGTGTCCCTTTGTCTCCGGGAACAACCACCAGGTAACAGCAAGGAAGACGACCAGGAAACAACAGAATACAATGTAGTACTTCCATCCAATATTCTCCAATCCGATAGGATTGACAAATGCAGCGATCACCAAACTACCATAGATAGCGAACAACTCCACGGCAATGCCCTTCGATCGCAACGAGTAAGGGAAAATCTCGGTTGGGTACGACAACAACAGGGGCGTGTATGCGATATCGTAGTGAAAGAAGAATGTGAACAGACACACAACAACCACGATTCCAGCAGGTTTGGATCCCGTATCTGAATTAACAGCCGAGCACGCCGTCCACACGATATAAGACACCAACATGCCAATCCCCGACCAGATAAACAGCGTGCGGCGTCCGAGTTTGTCAACGAGAATGGCTGCCGAGAAAGCGGCCGCGAAGTTGAAGATCTGGAGCAGGCCGTTGATGAGCGTCTGGTCGAAGGAATCGGTAATGCCGACTGTATCCAGAACGAGCGTGAGGTAGTAGGACACAACACCGATACCATTCCACTGCGCAAACGCACCCAGACACACGGCAATGAGCGTCCTCTTTCTATTTCCCGGCGTAGCGACTAGAGCCGACCAGCCGGTGTGCTTTGCCTGCTTCTCGAGCTGGATCGTGTGCACGATCTCGGCGATCTCGCGGGCGACGAGGGGCGAGGAAGAGCCTGTGAACTCGGGCCCGGCGTGGTATTTGGTCAGGATGGCCGTCGCTTCGGGCGCGCGGTCTTGGTCGATTAGCCAGCGTGGGGATTCGGGGATCCAGTACCAGAATGCGAGTTGGATGAGGGGGAAGCCGGCTTGGAGGATTGAAGGGATGCGCCAGGACCAGGTGCTGGGGTAGTCTTGGGTGCCGAAGGTGGTCCAGGATGCTAGGATTGCGCCTGTTGATGTTGGCATGGCTGTGCAGTATAGAAAGGAGGGAAAGAGGGAGGCTTACCTAGGTAGTACATGGTCCAGTAGGCACTGGTGTATTTTCCTCTATGCGTGGGGTATGCCAGCTCGGCGATGAGCATAGGTGAGGGTTGTACGACGAACATGCCGCCGAAGCCAACGATGAGTCGGGAGACAATGAACATGGCCAGATTGACAGACGCAGCCTGAATAACCGTAGCAATGATAATCATGATAACGCCAGCCAGGAGAACGGGCTTGCGCCCAAATTTATCGGAAAACCATCCCACGAGTGGCAGGGAGATTACTGATCCGATTGATTGAGCGCCGTTGACGAGACCCAGGAGCGAGCCTGCCGGGTGCCCGAAGTATTCTCTCCATTGTGGAAGGGACTGGAGACCGTTCATGAGAGAGCCTGGCGGTGGTTAGATATGCTATGCTATGCTGTGCGCGGTGTATAACAGGGAGACTTACCATCGTAACCTGCGACCGAGGAGCCGATCAAGGGGACGAGAAGGAGGAGGTTGAGTCGCAGTAGATGAGGAGTCTGGAACCAGTATTTCGGGTTATGAGGCAAGACCTCTGCCAGACTGTGGCCGACGATATCTGAGTCCTTGACCATATTGAACGTATAGAATGAGCGGGCAATTACTGTATGGCACCAAATAACAACACCACTTAATTTATTTTTCGAATCCAGCCGCACAACCAGGAGAAAGTAGGTTGTACTTATAGTCTCCCCATCCCATCCCATCACACATGCCCATCAAAACAGCCACAATAGACAATCATCTCACCATCCACCTCACCTACTCACGACCATCCTCGCCGCACCCCAATCAGACTAATGACTAGCAAGCCACGCTACGAGCGGGGACAAGAAGTGGGGTTCCCTGCATTTCCTGGGACCTGGGGTTCGTTTCCCCATGCTGCGGTTGGACGTGTGTGGGTTCCCCATGTTATTTTCAAGGCGAGGGCGCGACGGACGTCTGTCGCCCTGCGCGCTAGAGGGCGCGGGTCTACGTGCCCGGGTCTCTGGTCTGGTTCTCGGGTCTCGGCGACACATTGCCGTACATACTGTATGTGGACTTGCTAGTATTATAATGGATTATCAGCTGATGGCTGTATTGTTTGTGATGACAGCGGAGAACAAGTACGGGGGCGCTTGGGGAAGCTGCATGAGCGACGAAAGTGGGAGAGGGGGGAGAGAAATGGAGCGGAGCGGATCGCCACTATTGATTCGGCCAATTAGATTGGGGCACCGACAACGACTACGACTGACTATTTACGAGGCAGCCGATGCCAATGCCGATTCCGATTTCGGGATTTATTATGGTATGTGGTGTCATTGTGCCGGTGGAAAGAAATCCTGAGCCAGAAAAACGCATGCGCTCCAGAGTTGAGTGCCACATCACATTATCACTTTGCAATTCGGAGCTAGGTATACAATTTGAAAGACAAATCTCTAATCATGTCATGAATTTTATAGTTGAATGTATCTTCTCTAACGGGCAGTATATCCTCCATCAACAATGAAATCAGCTCCAGTGGTATAAGAACTCGCATCGCTAGCAAGGTAAAGATAAACACCCCTCAACTCCCTCGGGTCTGCATCTCTTTGCAGAGGAGTAAGTCCAAACCACGCCTCCTTCATCTCGAAAGCACAGTCCCCGGATATCGCAGTATCGATATAACCAGGCGACACAGAGTTGCATCGTCCTCCCCACTTCGCCCACTCAACCGCCAGTGATTTCGACAGATGGATCTGAACAAGCTAGCATCAGCAAACAAGCCTTTCAAAAGAAGCAGGGGAAGCAGAAGTGCAACTTACCACACCCGCCTTGCAAGCGTTATACCCACTCTGCTCCTGAGGCACATTGGCAGCATGCCCACTCATGCTCGCGGTAAAGATACAGTTTCCGTGACCCTGCGCCTTGAACACCAACCCAGCAGCGCGCGCACAGTAATAAGCACCGTCAAAATCCACAGCACGAACACGGTTCCAGTCCTCAACACTGGAATCCAGACCTCCTGCTTTAGAAGGAATACCGGCGTTAGCAATCATGACATCGAGACGGCCAAAGTCCTTCACGACGGCTGCGACTGCTGCTTCAACCTCCTCGTATTTCTCGACTTGCACTTGGTACGTTGCGGTCTTGACGCCAAAGTCTGTGGCGATTTGCGCGGCGAGTTTAACGGCCGCGGGGGACGAGGAGTACCAGATGGCGATCTTGGGACTTATGTCAGGTAATGTTTTGGGGGAAGGCGAGGGGGAAACTTACGTTTGCTCCTGCTTCTGCTAATCCCCTTGCTACCTCGTACCCGATACCACCTGAGCCACCGCTAATGATAACAGTCCTGCCATCCAGACGGAATGACTTGAAGAGACTGTCTTCCACAGGCGGATTAGGTTTGCGGATGGACTTCTGAGCGCCGTTGGTTGCCATTCTGCAGGATTTGTAGTTGGGAGAGTTATGAGTACTTTGATTGACTGCTTGCTTGCTTGCTTGAGAGACGTGAACAGGAATAGTTGAAAGTAAAGATTGATTGACAAGAAACTTGTAGCAAGCAACACTTGAAATAACAGCACAAACAACGGACAGCCTCGTCCTCAATGAGGGGCAAGGCTACACGTCCCACCAACGGGACTTACAGTCCGCTCATTCAGCCTTCTACCCCGGGCTCCTCGTGAGCTTGACGGAGAGGGTGAGTCTCTCCGGACTCAAATGAGGATCGGACGCCTGCTGTACTCCGTATACATATCTGCGCGCGTGATGTATAGACAGGGGCTGCGTCAGGAGAGTGTGGATACGCGGATTTGAAACTGGTTTTGTGGAAGATCAGCCGCAGGGGGACCAGTTTGATCTATGTATGGCATCACTTATGAGGGTGTGAAGCACGTGACTGGTGCATTCTGAAATTGGTTAATCATTTTTGGATACTATATCAAGCAACTGTTCTAGAGTTTAGTTGATATATTGTAGAGAACAGATTAGCTTACATTAAGTTGTAAGGGGTGTGGATTTCACGTGATCGCGATAGCTGCCTTTGGCAAGACACCTACGCCACGTCAAAAGCAGCTCTTATATCAATGAAGAGCATCCATGCCGTCAGGCGCATGATGCATGCTACTAGGAGATTAACGTCCCAACCCAAATGAGCAATGAAGCCAAGGAAATGTCATGACTTGACGTTTCCCCTTGGAATCGGCGGCACATGATATTAGCATGTAGAGTTCCGAGTCCCCGGAACGCGTCTCATGAAAGGTATAGAGCGAGCTTCGGAATGCCTTCCTTTGTCTTCGACTCTTCGGCGGCAGTGAGGTCCCGCCCACCATCTGTCTCGTGGCATCGAGTTGGTGCTCCAGTGAAAGCGTTGCTGTTTGGCTGAGAGTCGCGGTCGACTGTTGTCCGTCGCGTCACACTTGAACCCTTTTTTTGACCCCGCATCAACCCCTCCAAATCTGCCATAAGTCCACCCATCCCCATCATTTTGCTTTGAATTTTAATTGCAATCTTCTGTTCTTCCTGGCTTCCCTATCAGTCATCCAAGCAAGATTATAGTTATAGCAAAAAGATGTCTCCATCAGCAACCTCGGCGGAAGTTGTAAGTAGTTCGGACGGTACCCCACGGCTACTGCAGGCAAGCTGACAGCAAGAAGAACCCCGCATTCGTGTTGCACTCAATCAAAAACGTCTCTATTGAGAACAGAGATATCCCCAAGCTACGAACCGAGCACGATGTCCGAGTGCACATTGAGCAAACGGGAATCTGTGGCAGTGATGTGCATTACTGGCAACGAGGCAGGATCGGGGATTTCATCCTGAAGAGTCCCATTGTACTGGGTCATGAGAGTTCGGGAACCATTGTGGAGACTGGAAGTCTGGTGAAGAATGTGAAGGTTGGGGATCGTGTTGCTATTGAACCTGGTGTGCCGTGCAGATAGTAAGACGCCTACTCATTATCTCATGAGCTTTGAGCTTTGAACTTTGAAGGAAAGAAATCTAACAGTGGGTAATAATAGCTGCGACTTCTGCCGCGAAGGGGCGTACAATCTTTGCGCCGACACCATTTTTGCCGCGACCCCACCGTGGGATGGTACTCTTCAAAAATACTACACCGTAGCCTCAGACTACTGCTACCCCATCCCCGCACATATGAGCTCCGAAGATGGTGCCATGGTCGAGCCCACCGCAGTAGCCGTACAGATCTGCAAAGTCGCCGACCTCCGAGCAAACCAGACCGTGCTCGTCTTTGGCTGCGGACCAATCGGTGTCCTGTGCCAAGCAGTGGCAAAGGCATATGGAGCGAAGAAGGTCATTGCTGTAGACATTTCCAAAGCGAGGACGGAGTTTGCAAAGAAATATGCTGCGGATGGAGTGTTTATTCCCGAGCGAGCACCTGCTGGAACAGATCCAGTGGAGGCTAGCAGAGCGGTGGGCGAGAAGATCGTCGCTGAGTTTGGGATGGGAGAAGGCTTTGACGTGGTTCTGGAATGTACTGGCGCGGAGCCGTGTATTCAGGCTGGTGTCTTTGCTGCGAAGAAGGGAGGAACTTACGTTCAAGCTGGGATGGGCAAGGAGGTATGATGCACTCGCTTCCAACAATGTGAATGGACGCTTGCTAACGGTTCGTAGAATGTACTGTTCCCAATCACCACAGCATGCATTCGGGCGTTGAACATCAAGGGCTCCATTAGATATACGGCGGGATGTTACGCAGCGGCAGTAGACCTGGTTGCATCTGGCAAGATCGATGTAAAGTCCCTCATAACCCATAGATTCAAGTTCGAAGAGGCAGAGCAAGCATTTGAATTAGTCAAGAAAGCCCAAGAGGATGTTTTGAAAGTAGTTATTGAAGGTGTGCAGTAGGTAGGTAGTTAGAATGCATATAGACATTAAGATTTGAAGCGAATAAAAATAGCCGAAATACCCCTATTAAGTTACCCCTGAATTCTAAATGCCGAATCTGAACCCTCCTCCATATAGCACCACGAAAACTTGCATCGTGAACTCATGCCCGACCAAATCAGCATGTCACACGATCGTAGATCCCCACCAATGCCTTAGAGCAGGTCGAGAGAAGTCCGTTCCGTCCCCGCATGAAAGCCAGCGCATATAAAGGTCCTTTCCCCCCTCATCCCCCCTCTCATCCCACCAACCCCTCTCTCTCCTCCCGTACCAAACCACCAAACCACCCACCACCAAATAACCAACCAAGCACAAAACCCCAACCACACAACCGCAACAATGGTCCTAGCCGCCCACCCCTCCCCCCTCCTCCCCCGTCCTCTCCCACTTCTCGCTCTCCGGCAAAACCGCCCTCGTAACCGGCGGCACCCGCGGAATCGGTCTGGAAGTAGCCCGCGGGCTCGCCGAAGCCGGCGCCCGCGTCGCCATCCTCTATACCAGCACCTCCCCATCGGATGCCGACGCGACCGCATCATCCATCTCCGCGTCCGCGGGGGTGCCCGTGAAAGCGTACAAATGCAACGTCACGTCGCAGAGCGAAGTCTCGGCCGTCATGGCGCTCGTGACGTCCGAGCTAGGCAACGGGACGCTGGATATCGTCGTCGCGAACGCGGGCATCGCGACGCACCATGCGGCGCTCGATTACAGCCCGCAGCAGTTCAGGGAGATTATGGATGTGAATCTCGACGGGGCGTTCTATACGGCGCAGGCTGCGGGGCGGATCTTTGAGACGCAGGTTAAGGAGGGGAGGGCGAAGGGGAATGTGATTTTTACGGCCAGCGTGTCGGCGATTCTGGTTAATGTGCCGCAGAAACAGGCGGCGTATAATGCGAGTAAGGCCGCTGTGGTGCAGCTGGCGAGGTGTTTGAGTGTCGAGTGGGTGGATTTTGCGAGGGTGAACTGCGTTAGTCCGGTATGTGATGTTCTCTTTGATTTCGAGCCGTGCTTCTATTTGGCTTTTCTGTTTCATGGATGGAG